GTGCACCTGTCAACCGTGGGATTTTGCCATCTGGGACATCATTTTAATGTGGTTTTGGGTATCGAACAGCAAGTGTTTTACCCACTGAGCAATCTTTCCCACCCAGTTCTAATCTCTGTCTCTGTCTCTCTGTCTCTCTCTGTCTCTCTGTGTGTCTCTGTGTCTCTGTCACTCTCTCTCTGTTTTTTGAGACAGGGTTTTTCTGTGTGGTCATGGATATCCTGGAACTCACTCTGTAGACTACACTGGCCCCAAACTCACAGAGATCCACATGTCTCTGCCGCCTGAGTGCTGTGATTAAAGGCGTGCACCACCACCATCCTGAAGTTTTAATCTCTTAATTCCAGAAAAAGCAAAAGGTGGGCAGAACTAAAATCTAATAAAGAATAGATTAAATCAAACTTCATATTGGAAAATTCCTGCAGACACCACTTTAACAAAGAAATCAAGGTTAACAGAACCAATAATGCAAACTGGCATGGGACAAAGAAAGAAAGAAAGAAAGAAAAATCTAACGAAGGTAGAATCTTGTAGATCAATCACAAGTAAGCTCTTTTCCCATCTTGACCCAAGAGGACTTTCACATCCAAAGGAAGTCATCTGTCATGTCTTTATTTCATCATGAAGTCCCTCAAATCTAAAGTCTCCACTTATTGATTCTTATCATTGACAAAGGGCTTGTTGCATTTAACAGCTACTTTTTCACTCACGTGGTCTTCTTCTGGTCCTCCAGTTCCATGCCTACTTGAGGTCCCAGCACCACGGACAGCTCCAGTGGTTCTGGACATTCCCCCTTTCTGTCTGCTTTCTAGCTAGTTTCTTTTCCCTAATCCAAGCCCCCAAATTATAAAATGAACTGAGGGAGGGTGTCCTTGAGAGGAGAGAAGAGTGGAGTGCTTAGGAAAGAGCCTGGGGTCATTGAACTCAATATGAGTTCAATCCCATCACTTAGATTTGAGGGACTTCTTGTTGGAATAAAGACCTGGGTGTACAGATGCTGGTAAGAATTTGTCCTCAAGACTAGGTTGAAACTAGTTAGTATCGCTTTACTGGACTGAACCCTCCCCACGTTTGTTCTTTCAGTCTTCTCTCCACATACCCAGGCTCTGTCCCATGACCCAAGAACTAAAGGGTCAAGACCTGGCACAATGTGGGTTCTAGGACACTGCTCTGGCTCAGACGAAGCTGGTGTTTATTCTGTGAACTCCGGTGCCCATATCTTACCAATTGTTACATGTTTGGAATACAACTCCCATTTCTTTCATTTTTATGGAGGAGTAAAGAGAGGCTTTACAATTTGTCTGACATTGTCAGAGAAAGATGGAACCAGGATTTGAGCTTAATTTTTTGGGGGGACAGGGTTTCTCTGTGTAACTTTGGAACCTATCTTGGAACTCTCTCTGTAGACCAGGCTGGCCTCAAACTCACAGAGATCTGCCTGCCTCTGCTTCCTGAGTGCTGGGGTTAAAGGCGTGCGTCACCACCAACCAGCTTGAGCTTAAATTTTTTAAGATGAAATATTATGTTTTCCCCCCATTCCCTTACTTTTGGCCTATGTGGGTTTCTACTCTGTGGTAGTTTAGAGTATAGGTGGAGGGAGAAAATTGTCTAGGATGACACGAGATTTTTGCCTAGGAAAATTAGAAACCCACAAGTTAGTCCTAAACAGGGTGAAACTTTACTTTGAGGTCTCTTGTCACATGACAGCTGTAATGGTTAATCTTCGTTGTCAGCTTGACTGATTCCTCTAGGAGACACACCTCTGGGCACGTCTATGAGGGTGTTTACAGAGAGATTAACTGAGTAGGATAGACTTACCCTGAATGTGGGTGGCATCGTCCCATGAGCTGGAGGCCCAGCCTGAGTGAAAGGGGGAAGAAACCCAGAAGAGTGTAGTACTAGCACACTCTTCTTTTGTTTCCTGACGTATTAAGATGTGGAGTCCCAGACACATGCTCCCACTGCCTGGAACCCTGCCATGGCTTTACCCACCATGCTGGACTATAAAATTTGGGACTTTCAAATCTCCATCCCAAACAAACCCATCCTCCTTTAAAGTGTGTCTATTGGTGTTTTGTCACAGTGATGAGAAATGTAACTGATACTTTAGCCTCCAGCCCCTTCAGTTTTGGAGAGGCAGCCCTTTTATCTGTAAGTGCTGGGTGGGCATGTCAGCTGGTCAGCAGAGCATCCCCCAGCACTTAGGTACCCCGTGTTTGACTTTCCCTACTTCAGCACAGCAAAACAGCCTTCGTCCTGGAGAAACAGAGAAGGGGGGTGTGGAAAGGAGAAAGTGTACTGAAGGAAGGCCAAGGCTGGTCAAGAGGGAAGGTGAGGCCAGGCATGGCGGTTCATGACTTTAATTCCAGCACTCAGGAGGTAGAGGCAGTCAGATATCTGTGGGTTTGAGGCCAGCCTGGACTACAAAGTGAGTTCTGGGACAACCAAGGCTATTAGGTAAAGAGGAATATTAAGCTACATAAAGTATACAGGGAAGGGATGCCGTATGATACTTTATTAGAAAAAAACATAAATATAAATAAAAAGAGAAAGGAAGGAAGAAAAAAGAAAGACAGGAAATAAGGAAGAGAGAAAGAAAGAGAAAGAGAGAGAGAAGGAAAGAGAGAAAGAAAGAAGGAAAGAAAGAAAGAAGGAAGGAAAGAAAGAAAGGGAAGGTTCGCAGAAAGCTGGGTGGTTTGTTTATGGAGATCAGAGGGGTGGGGAGAAAGTGTTTTCTCTGCTTTTCACTCCTTAATCTTCACACTGTGTTTTGGAAGTTGACTCCTACAGGAAGTTAATCATCAAAGCCTTTGTGTCAAATGTCTAGAATCCTGGAGACTGATGCAGGGGGATTTCAAGTATGAGGCAGGCCTGGTCTACAAAATGAGAACCTATATCTACAAACAAATGAAAGAGGAAAAAAAATCCACAGCAAATAGATAAGGAAATCGAGGTTCAGAGATCATGTGACTTCTTCAAAGCCTTACAGCCAGAAGATAACAAAGGTTAATCCCAGGCCTGTCTGCTTTCCCAGTCCAGAATCTTCTCTATTCTAACATGTGGTGGTGAGAAGATGCTTGGAAAGGACTCTTAGCCTGGATATTTTGTTGCAGTGAAGCCCAAATTGCCAAATGTGCTTTGTCCCTCCTGCCCCAGGTCAGACAAGGACCTCAGGTCTCCCACATAGCCTTCCCTTCTCCAACCTTTCAGTCCTTATCAGTTTCCTGAGTCATCATTCACTTTCATTCACAGCCCGAAGCAAACAGAAGCTGTCAGTGGGCCTGGGGAGGACTGACCACTGGCATCCAACATCCATTATCTTCGGGAGAATCTAAGCTCCTGAGAAGGGGACTTCCAAGGCAAACTCAGCTTCTGCTTCCCTCCACTCACACCCAGCACCCAGCCATACCTTGGCAGGTTATTCACCTTGTTGGGCAAAGTCCAGTAGGCGGGGTCCTCTCCATGGGAGTCCCCACATCAGTTGAGATCACTCTGCGGAGCTTCCAGGAGGCAGTTAAAATTCCATAGAAACACAGGCCACAGGGCCTGGTGAGAAAAGGAACTGACCTTTCATCATCCCAGCCCAGAATGCTTCAAGTTATAAACCCACAGGACTCTGGGAAGGAGTTTCTCTTGGATGGAGACTGAAGGATTCATGGTTCAGAAAAGGCCTGACTTCATCATCAGGTTGTTCTTATTGGGATCTCTAAGGTCCCCACCAAATTCTGCTTCGAGGGTCAGTGCTCTCCGTTTCTTTCTGACATAAGTATGAAAAGGTTCTCCCCCCCTCTTTTTTGTCCATAAGGTTTAGCTGAGTCGGGCTGATTAAAAAAAGAACTTGAGGAAAAACAAAAAAGAAATCATTATAGGAACTCTAAGCAGCATAAACATCATCATGTCCAAAGTACAGGCTTTTGATTCTGAGAATCCCGTTAAAACCAGTGAAACACTCACTGAGTGCCACATTCTTTAATCCTCACAAAACTCCGGGCTTAATCGGCATGACTTAACTGACCTCCTGGCCTGCTCTTCCAGCACTCCTGACCTCCTCTGGTCATGTGATCTCTCAAGCCAGCTCAGACCACTTTGTCACTTCAGTCCACCTTACATAGGGGAACCCCAATCCTTCACACTGCTAGTTTATTTTCTGGGTTTGCCCCCCAGCTCTCTAAGTTGTCCCTCTGTAACCATACCACACCTTTTCACTCTGAGAAGAAATGGGTTCACTGTTCAGGCAGTAAAACATGTTTAATTGCCGAAGAATGAACTTTGAGATTCTCAACTTTGTCTATGTGTACCAGCAAGACCTTACTCCCAATATGCACAACTGAGCTTCCAAAAAAAATCCCTGTTGCATGTAAGAATTTCTTCATACATTAACTTTAGTCTCTCTTCAGATGAGTTAATTCACCTTGATCTTGGACCAGAAGACACCCTGGAAGAAAGTGCCAAAGACATTCTCTTTCACCAGCAGAAGGAACACATTTAGGAAGCACTGTGCAATAAAAATAACCAGGGGCTGTTTCAATTGAACAGTTGAGATCATAGGGAAAGATGCTCTGAACCTAGATCAGCAATGTCTGCGAGAGACTAGGAATGAGACCGACAGTAGTACATGAACACCGTTGTCGACTAAAGTAAGGATTGCCAGGGCGCCCTGAAAATTAGTGGAAGCGTGTTTGCTTTGTCTGAACTGGAAGACGATCACAGTAATTACTACAGCAGGGAAGGTCTGAGCTTTAGGGAGATTAAATTTGGGCAGCACTGACTTGGGGTGCAGCTTAATGATACTTAGTGAGCCTCATCACCAACAAAAAAAAAGATAAAGATGAGAAGAAAGAAAAAGAAAAGGGAGAATAAAAAGGAATAGAAAGACAAGAAAAAAGGAATGAAATGAAAAGGAAAGGAAAGGAATGGAAAAGGCGGCAAGTGGGCACATTCGCTTTCCCTGAACCTTGGCTCCCTTGGGTTGCCGTCGTTGCCCTGGGATACCAAGAGACGCTGTGTCCCTCGCGTCTCGTATCTATGGAAACGTCTGCAAGGCGGCAGTATGAGTTCTGAACGTTGAAGCCCAGCGAAAGAAGTAAGTGTTAAGGAAAGTATCTGTACCGAGACCCCTTCCTCTAGGAAATCGCGGCGGATCTTTAGACAGCACTTTTGTCGTGGGCGAGATTAATTGGACACGGGATGAGGGAGACCTGGAGAAGCCCTCTAAGAATAATCCGTCCCCTTCGTTTTTCCCTTTGCTTCCTCAACTCTACTTGGCAACACCCACCTCTCCATCCCTGTTTTTCCACAGGTTATTTTAGAAAATTTTAAGATCGGAAATTAGGCAAATAAAAGATAATATCCTTTTCCCTACCTTGAAACTAGAAAATTGGTTTAAAACAAACCAAAAAAAAAAAAAAAAAAGCAAAACAACAAAATCCCCACAACTACTGGACCACTTTTCTACTCTTTTTCTCATCTCTTTTCCGGTCTTTCAGAGACAGCCTGATGTGTGGGGACTTTCAGATGGGTGAGGCAGGGACTGTCTGTTGAATCCCCTGATGTTTGAGGGACAAGGGAACAGGGGCAGGACTGCAACGCTATCCAGCGACAGAAAAGTAATGACTCTCCTCCCCACCAACAGCTTGCATTTCCTGGATCGTGTCTGAACACCCATTGTACAGTTGGAGGTAGGAACCTTACTTGTTTTGTTGCAGGTCCAAAAGAGTGCAGGCTGTATAGTAAGTGTTCGGGAAAGGCTCTGTGAATGAATGGTTGGGATGAAGGCAGGAATGGAGATGGCTCCCTCCAGTGGTTGGGGAACCAACCCTCTAGGAACAAATGAGGCCTTCTCTGCTTGGTGGAGAGGGAATGAGTGTGTCTGCGTATGTGTGTAAACTCACAAAGGTGATTGTGAAATTGTTGAATGAATGTATTATCGCTTGGGGAAGTTAACCACCTGAAAAGGGAGATTTTTAGGCTAAATAAAAGGCAAGTCACAGTTAGTCAGTGGTGCACACCTTTAATCCCAGCACTTGGGAGGCAGAGGCAGAGGCAGAGGCAGAGGCAGTCTGAGTTTGAAGCCAGCCTGGTCTACAGAGCAGGTGCCAGGGTTATACAGAGAAACCTTGTCTCAAAACAAAAACATCAACAAAGACAAACAAACAAAACAAAAAAGGGTGGCGGGTGGCATGCGATTATAAACAGTTGTAAGGATTAAATGAGTTCCAGGACAGCCTCCAAAAGGTACTAACTAAAAAAAAACTTGTTAAAAATCTGGCAATACTACCTGACTCTTCAGTTCTAAGTAGAAGGCAGTCCCAAATTGATAGTTTCAGATATTGCTATTTAAAGAAGTAAAAAGGATACTCAACAGTGTGAGATATACAAATATGTTCAAAATAAGTATTCCAGTTTTGCTGTTCAGTGTGGTAGCCACTAGCCATCTGTAACTATTGAGCATTTGAATTTTAGATGTTCTGAATTGAGATAAATTGCAAATATAAAATGCACTGGACTGAAGAGATGGTTTGGTGGCAAGAGTTCAGTTCCCAGCACACACATATTGAGTGGCTCACAACTGCTAGTAACACCAGATCCAGGGGATTGAATACCCTCCCTGGCTTCGACCAGTACCTGCGTGCACATAACACACACACACACACACACACACACACACACACACATACACACACACGAATAAAAATATCTTGTTTGTTTTTGAGGCAAGGTTTCTCTTTGTAGCCTTAGCTGTCTTGGAACTTGCTCTGTAGACTAGACTGGCCTCAAACTCACAGAGATCCTCCTGCCTCTGCCTCCTGAGTGCTGGGATTAAATGTGTGTGCCACCAACACCCAGCTAAAAATAAAAACCGTAAAAATACGATACACTGTTGAGTATGGTGGCACACTCCTTTAATCCCTGGGGAGGCAGAAGCAAGTGGATCTCTTAGAGCTCAAGTCCAGCCTGGTCTACATAGCAAATTCCCTGGCCAGCCAGAGCTACATAGTGAGGCTATGTCTAAAAAACAAACAAACAAAACCATACCAAACTGAGTAGACCATGGGAGCAAGTCCATGGGCAATGTTCCTCGGTCATCCCGGTTTCAGTTCCTGCCACCAGGTTTCTGCTTTGACTTTCCCGGGAGTCCTACGGTAAAATGAACCCCTTCCCTCTCTAAGTTGCTTTTTGCTCATGGTGTCTATTGCAACAGTAGAAAGCCTGCTAAAACACTGGGTAATGTCACGTGTGGCCACAGAAGAACATGACTGCCCGAACCTTATCCCAGAAACCCTTTTGTGTGGTTTCTTGAGTGGCACTTGAGGCCACTGAGCAAAGCTCTGATCTTCAGCCTCGTTTCTCACGGTGCCCCTCAGAGCACTTGTCAGAATAAAAAGCGAATCTCTCCTCCATCTCAACTATGATCTTCAGCCTCGTTTCTCACGGTGACCCTCAGAGCACTTGTCAGAATAAAAAGCGAATCTCTCCTCCATCTCAACTATGGTGACTCTCCTCCATCATCCCTCTTCTGCAGGTTCCTCCTCTGCTCCCCTCCCAGATCCAGGCTTACATGTGGATCTGGTAGGAATTTCTGGGTTGGCTAGATGCTCACCCAGGCAAACTCCGGCCACACTATGAGGCCCGGGGACAACGGAGACTACACTGTGAATGAAGGATCGTGCCTGAGTGCCAGCACACTGGCAAGTAGCAGTGTCTCTACCCAGGTGAGGATCTGGTCAGGGTGGTGGGTCAAGCGTGGCTAGACCACATAGGGGCGTTGTGACAGTACAACAGGGTGAGAATCCGAGAGACTGTCTCTCCCATATACACTCTGGCCCTCACCTCCCCAGATGGAGCCCTGGGCAGACTTGAGTACAGGCGGATGCTGTCCCAGCTGTTGATAGCCCTCCTGCTCTGGCAGGGAACTGACTCTGCCTCAGAAGAAAGGGCTATCAACGTCTGAACTCGCTCTCCAACCCTACTGAACATTTACTGATGTTGATAACCTGCGGGTTTTTTCATTGTCCTTGACTATGTATTGCACTAGTTGATAGTGTGCATGTGTTTGTGTGGTGTGTGTGTGTGTGTGGTTGGTTGTCTATATGGGCATGTGTGGAAGTCAGAAGTTGCTATCAGGTCTCTTTCTGTGTTTCTCTCTCTCTCTCTCTCTCTCTCTCTCTCTCTCTCTCTCTGTCTCTTCCACCTTACATTTTGAGAGAGTCTCTCACTGAACCTAGAGCTTGTCATTTTGGGTAGACTTGTCTGTCTAGCAAGCCCCTGGGATCTACCTGTCTGCCCCCCTCAGCACTCACCCCTGCACAGTGCTAGGGTTGCTTGGGATCTGAATTTAGGTATTCATGTTTGCCCAGTAAGCACCCCACCCACTGAGCCTGAGCCTCCTCCCCCCAATTGAGCTCTAGAGTGGCATCTTTTTTCCTGATTGAATCATGACTGATGCACTAATTGGTTTTGGTAATAGATTAGTCTTCCTCATCTGTGCCACATTTCCTCCATAGGCAATCAAGGAAAGAGAATAGATTGGCCATCCAATGTTCTTAGTAAATATTGAAACGGAAAGTGTAATATCCAGAGAGAAGGGATTTGTAAGTCTTCTTCACCATCATGGCCCAATTGCCTTGCATGGTGCCTGGCACATGACAATCAGCAAATATTTGCTGAGTGGATGACTCCATCTTGTTATGTAACAGCAGACAAGCAATAATTGGTCTAAGATAAAATAGTCAGTGAGTTGATTTTTTATGGTAATGCCATGGAAGGAAGAGGTAACCAGTTTATCCATCTTCCATTTTACTGCCTGAGGGGTTTCAGCGCCCTTCCTCCTCAGCTGGATAAGTGACATGGGTCAATGAGAGAAGTGGCTTGTTTGTTTGTTCTGGCACAGTGAGGTTTTTTTGTTGTTTTTGTTTTGTTTTGTTTTGTTTTGTTTGTTTTTATGAGACAGGGTTTTTCTGTGTTGTTTTGGAGGCTGTCGGTCCAGCCCGGCCTCCAACTCACAGAGATCCTCCTGCCTCTGCCTCCTGAGTGCTGGGATTAAAGGCGTGTGCCACCACCACCCGGCTCACAGTGAGTTTTAAACAGCACTTGAGCTGTCCTTGGAAGGCATGGTGGGTCTTGGTCACAGGCAATATGGCTCCTTCTTCTGCTCCAATAGTCAACTGAGGGTCAGGTGAAGGGACTGTGCAATGCCCTGCATTCTGGGGAAATGCCTGGGTAGACCATTCCAGCTAGGAGAGGATTCTAGAGAGCAGGGCAGGTTGAGAAAGAGAAGGAGGTGCAGGAAGCAGTGCCTGTGGTGGCCGAGGGATGGAACCCAGCAGCCAAGACCCCCATCTGCAAACCTGATGGAGCAGCTGGATAGGGCAGCTCAGGCAAGCCCTCGTTTCTGGGCCTTTTATGAACAAACAGTTACAGTGACTTTGCATGTGGTGATGCTGGACTCCTTCTCTCTAGCCCACATCCCAGGGTGAGGAGCGTCGTCCTCTCTTAAGTGCTAATGGCAGGATGGAGATGGGCGCTCTGTCTGTTTTCTGAGTCTTAGCATGCTATGCTCACTGATCGACTTTGCTTCTCCCCCTTTCCTGCCACCTGCCCAGCTTCTAAGTCCCCTGGACAAAAAAGTATGCATCCCCAAGAAGCAAAACGACGTGAGGAAGAGAGTGTTCTGGGGCATCGAGGTTGCCGAGGAGCTGCAGTGGAAAGGCTGGGAGCTGGGCAAGGAAAGCACCAGGAACCTGTCCCTCAAAAATCTCTCCTTGAAAATCCAGAAGATAAAGTACAGGTACCAGGATGAGGAGCCCAGAACCTGAGCCCTCAAGCCCCCAAAGTGGGTTTTCTTTGAAAAAAGAAACAAAACAACCTTTAAAAAACTCACCAGTTCAGAAGTCTATTCAAAGCACATGCAGTGTGAAGAATCCTAGAAATAATAACTGGAGGCCACATCATGGGACCTTCCTCCCCACAGAGAACTATCCTGCCTCCTGTTTTAATGACTTCCTTGCTTTTCCAAAATGGATTCACCGTGTGTGTTGACATCCTTAAATGGTACAGTTTAATTTACCTTATGAACTTTAAATGAAAGAATACAATATACTTTTGTAATCTTAAAAAAAAACAACTTGGTTTGTCTTTCTGTATAATCTCCAGGTCATAAAGATAGTCCCCTAGAGTATTTTTCTAACGAGACTTTTGAATTGTTCTTTTATCTATGTGGAATTGCTTTTTTGTGGATGGCCTGATGATATAGTTCCTCAACTGAATGTTCCATTTTCTCAGCATCATCTATTAAGCTGATGCACTCCAGTTGAGGGTCTTCCCACCACTGACACAGTCTGACTGCTTATGTGTAGCTCTGCACTCTAGTCTACTAGTGTACTCCTGGGTTTAATTGTTGCAGCCTGAATTAATCAATTGAATTTACAGCAAACTTGATATCTGGTTGTGTAAGTCCCCCACCTTCTCAAGATTGCCTGTTCCTTTTTCTTTGTTGTATGAAATTTTTAACATTTTTTATTAATTTTTTTTACATTCCAATCCCAGTTTCCCCCACTTCCCTCCTACTCCCCCAATTCCCTCCACCCCAGCTCCCATCACTCCTTGGAGAGGGCAAGGCCTCCCCTAGTCTGTCCCATCATCTCACTGAGGCAGGACCAAGGACCACTCCACCCCGCACACCCCTGTGTCTAGGCTGAGCAAGGTGTCTCTCCATATAGAAGGGGCTCCACTAAGTCAGTTTGTGCATTAGAGTTAGATCTAACGCACAAACAGTGGCCTTGCCTGTTGTTCTTATCCCTTTGAACTTTCTTAAAAATTTAAAATCAACTCAAAACACACACACACATACACACTTTTTGTGTATGATAATGGGATTTGAGTGTATATATAAATGAATTTGGGGGATTACACATTACAGTACTGAGTCCCCTCCAATCTGGTTCTCCGGTTCTGGGATTATGGGCATGTGTCACCATGCCAAGCTGTATGTGATGTGCTTGAAGTTGTTTTCATGCTTTGTTTGTTGATAGTTTTTTTGAAGCTTTCAATGATCTTACTATATAGTCTTGCCTGACCAAGAACTCACTATATAAACCAGGCTGGCCTAGAACTTGTAAAAGTTCTCTTTCCTCAGATTCACAGGAAATAGGATCACAAGTATGAACCACTGACCAGCTAGGTTTTCTAGCATTTTTAAAAGTTGTTTTTAAGATTAATTTTTATTTTTGTGCATATATGTTTATGTTTGCATGTGTGTATGAGTGACAGAAGAGGGTGTTGGGTGTCATAGAATTGAAGTCAGAGGCAGTTGTGAGCTACCATGTGGGCGCTGGGAACTGAACTTGGGTCCTGTGAACCTGTGAAGGAGCAGCAAGTGATCCTAACTTCTGAGCCATCTCTCCAGCCCCTAGCATTTGTTAATTGAGATGTTATTTGTTTTGTCTTTTTTCATATGTCAATTGTATCAACTGACTTTCTGCATTATTTCTGAATAATTCCAACATTATTATGTTCTCCTTTTTTAACTAATATTTGGTTTCTGAGATTAGTCTATAGTTTTCTTCCTGCCTCTGTCAGGTTTTAGTAATGACATACGGTTGTTTGGGACTATTTCTATATTATCTGGAAGAGCTTAAAACTGGAGTTGTCAGGGTGGAGAGATGGCTCAGAGGTTAACAGCACTGGCTGCTCTTTCAGAGGTCCTGAGTTCAATTCCCAGCAACCACATGGTGGCTCATAACCATCTATAATTGGATCTGATGCCCACTTTTGGCCTGCAGGCACACATGTGAACAAAGTACCCATACATTAAAAAACAAAACAAACAAACAACTGGAATTGTCTCCCTCTACTGCTAGGTGGGACTTGCTGTGAATCCATCTGTTCTAGTACTTTCTTTACAGGAACATTATGCCTACCCTTCCCATTTCTTTAGTGGTTTGGGGCAGGATGACTGTCTAATTCTCGAGTTAGTTTTGTAAGTCGAGTTTTCCTGTGGGTGTGTTTGTCCCACCTACACTTATCTGACCACTGGTGCAGTCATAACCAACATCATGTTCTTTCTAACACTCCGAAAGTCTGCTGTTCCCATGCTACCCTGCTGGGTCCCTGTTACGTCAGGACAGGCCGTCCATATGTCTCTCCATGACGACCATCTTCAGCAGAGATACGGGTCCTGATATGAAAGGCTATAGGTGTAGAAGGAGTAGGGAGTCAGGTATGGGGTCACAGACCCGCAGGAATAGGAGTTCAAGGCTCCGTATAGTGAGTTTGAAGCCAGTCTGTGCTACACAAAACCTTGTTTCAAAGAAAGAAAGAAAAAGAAAGAAAGAAAGAAAGAAAGAAAGAAAGAAAGAAAGAAAGAAAGAAAGAAAGAAAGAAATGGAAGAGGCTGGGCATTGGTGGCGCATGCCTTTAATCCCAGCACTTGGGAGGCAGAGGCAGGCAGATCTCTGTGAGTTCGAGGCCAGCCTGTTCTCCAGGACAGCCTCCAAAACAACACAGAGAAACCCTGTCTTGAAAAACCAAAATAATAATAATAATAATAATTATAATAAAAGGAAGAGGAAGGGCATAGGTCCTGTTGCAATCTGGCCCCATTGAGCTTCCTCAGTACTCCAGCTTTGGCTTCTCTGGTGGCTCTGAGCCCAGCTCTGACATGTTCATCACCTGGCTCTTCACTGCAGGCCTCCCAAGACCAAGTTCTTCTTCACCATCCTTCCTCAGCCCATCTTCCTGAGCCCAGGCATAACCTTCACACTCCCCATCACCTTCCGACCTCTAGAAGAGGTAAGGTCTGCCAGGGAAGCAATGCAGCGTGGGGAAGGCAAGAGAACAGAGACCCGAGCAGGGGTTTCCCCCAACACCTGCACACCCTGCAGAGGCAGGAGGATTTCTCTGAGTTTAAGGCCATCCTGGTCTACATAACAAGTTCAAGCCAGTCGAGGCTACAAAGTGAGATACTGTCCCAGAAAAAAAAGCAACCAATCAACCAACCAAACAAACAAGCAAAATAAAAATACAGCTTAGGAAGACTCCAAAAGGGACACAGACCTTGATGTCATCCAATAGAGGGGTATTCCCCATTGGGAATGGGGTCAAAAAGGCTGTAATGATCACCAGAAAGCTCTAGATTCCTTAGCCTCTTGATCCCTGCAGGCTTGCTCAGAATTTTCGGTGAAACTTTGTGTCTTTGAGAGCCATTATGTTGAGTCATACTCTCACTGTGTGACCCAGGCTATCCAGAACCCTCTAGGCTCAAGCAATCCTCCTGCATCTGCTTCCCAAACAGCTGCAATTACAGGGCATGCCTTGGAATTCCTGGTTTCCCACAAAAGTGGCCCTTTTCTCAGAGGCCAAGACAGTCTAAGAGCTAAGGAAGTTAGGACACGGTGGGCTACATCCCAGCCCACCTGCCAGGCATTTATTGGAGGGATGGCATAGCAGGGACGGGATGTACTATCCTGAGTTTTACCTGGAGTACCACTCACTGGTGACTGCCTCTTTCTCTGCCTCCTGTCCTGCAGAAGGAATACACGGACCGGCTGTGGCTCGAGAAAGAAGAAGGAGTGTTCTGTGTGTCCCTGAAGGCCTCCTTGCCTTGCCATAAACTAGCCTGCCCATCATCCCTGCAACTGCCCATGTGTGCCATTGGGGACACAGTGGAGATCTGGTTCTGTCTGAACAATGTGGGGTGAGGAGGAAGGGCTGAGCCCCCGAAGGGGAAATAGCAGCCCCTGGGAGGAGAGCCGTAGGGAGCAGAGGAGATGAGTTTATGCCAGAGGGGAGCAGAACCCCAGGACCTGACCCTACCCCCTCCTCTTAGGGACCTGCCTACCTTCTTCACCTGGGAAGTCCCAAACCCATTCCAGATATTTCCCACTACGGGGTTACTGGAGCCAGGCCTGGGTTGTAGGAGCAAAGTGACCTTTCAGCCCCTCATAGCGGTCGTTCATGAAGTCGAGGCACTGTGCTGGTATGGGAAGGGCGCCAAGCAGAAGAACAGCATCCAGATCCAGGCTGCAGGTAAGCCCGCCCGCCCATCTGTCCCCAAAGACCCTGCAGCCCTCCCTGGGCCTTAGGCCCCAGTGTGCCCCACAGGTCCCCACCAGCCTCCTGCCCGTTCTATCAAGTCACAGACTGTCCCTCCTGGATGGGCAGGGGACACGGACACTTCAGCTGGGGCTATAGAGACCCTCGAGATAACCCCCCATCTCTGCCCCAGCTAAGTGTGCACAGCTTCTGGTGAGCATAAAACACAAGCAACCAAAGGACCAGGACACGGAGGGTTTCCAGAAGGTGGTACACTTCGGCTCCGTCGCCGTGGGCTGCACCATGGAGCGGCAGATCAGGCTGTACAATCCATCTGCGGTGTGCATGGGCTGGGAAGGGATGGACGAGGGAAAGGGCAGGACTCAGGGACCCCAAGACTCGGTATGCTTAAAACCCATGGCCTCTCCTCTCTGCTCTCAGACCCAACGCCTTACACACTCATATTTATTGATAAAAACACGGGACTCTGTGTGTGTGTGTGTGTGTGTGTGTGTGTGTGTGTGTGAACAGCCGTCAGCAGGTGCTCTCTCTCCTGTCAGCTGGGGTCAGGTGCCCTGTAGCCCACTGAATGCCTGGACCCTAGGTCTAAGGTTAGCTCTCATACTACCTTTGGGAGAAGAAAAGGATGCCCTCACTTTGGGCAGTCTTGAGATGGGACACACAGCTCGGCCTCTTTCTCCTGGTGTTACCTGCTACTCAGGCCTGACTGGATACCAGTTGTCCCTGACCCTTCATGTGGCCTCCTCAGTATAATGCACAAACTGCCCAAACCTGTGACAAGAATCTTTTCTCTCCCGAACCGCTGACCCTACAGGTGAACGCCCCCTTCAAGATTGAGATGTCTGAAGACATGGTGACCAAAGAACATGCCTTCTCATGCTCCATGGGTCAAGGCATTGTGCCCCCAGGAGAGAAGAAATGCCTCTCAGTGTTCTTCCACCCCAAGACCTTGGACAGCAGAACCATAGACTACTTATCCATTGTGCCTTCTGGTTGTGCCTCCCAAACTCGGCTCCAAGTCGTTGGTTTCTGTAAAGGTAATGTCAATCCCAGGAGGTTGTGACCCCCCCTCCCCAGAACATGAGCATCTCACTAGGGAGTCATTCCCTTGAGCTTGTCTGCTCCAGAGAGACCTTTGCTTCCGGGTCCCTCAGTCTAGGTGTCTTCTGCCCCCTGGTGGCCATGTGGGGAATCATTGTGGATTCCTGGTGAGTCCATCTTTCCAGACAGTGTTGATGGAACTCTGAGGATTTGCAGGGGTCCTGGGCCTTACCCAGCCTGGCCATCTGGCTCTAGAGAGCACCTCATCCCAGCAGCGGGACCTCTTATGAGATGCCCTCTGACCCGCCCACACGAGGAGGAAGGGGCCTCTCACAAAGACCGGTCTCCTCTCCCTAGGTCCTGAAGTATCCTTGCAGCACTACTGTGTCAACTTCAGCTGTGTCCAGCTCGGGGAGAGCCCAGAGCAGACCCTGTGGATTGAGAACAGGTCAGACTGTTTGGCTCACTTCCAGTTTGACATTGACTGCCCGGAGAGTGTCTTCAGCATCAGGCCTGCCTCTGGAACCCTGGCGGGCAAGGCCCGTTTGACCCTGCACTGTGCCTACCAGCCCACACACCCTGTCATCTACTTCCGGAGGGTGGCCTGCCTCATCCACCACCAGGTGAGTGATGGAGAAGGGACCAAGCTGGGGATGAAGAGGCCATTCCGTTTAGTGAGAAGCCACGAGGCTCAGATGAAGGCAAGGCTTGGACACTCCCTTCTTTTCAGAACATCTGAGGCTGTCTGTCTGGGTCATCTCTTCCTTAGAATCTCTGCCATGGTTTAGAGGCAGAGCATGGCCAGGGAGTCATGAAAGCTCACTAATCCAAGTGGGCATGCCAAGTTTGCCTTAGGCTCTGCTGCTTCTGATGTTAACGGCTGCCATTGCTGTCAGCCAGCTGGAAGCAGAAATTTGGATATCACACCATCCCAGGGTGGAGACTCTGAAGCGAGAATCCAAACCCAGTCCCTTGGGTGTGTACCTGGACATGATGACAAAGTTGAGGCTGGGATGTAGCCTATCCTCATCAACTAGGCCCTGGGCTGCACCCCTCTACCTGGGGAAGGGTTCCTTTGCCCAATTCTCACAAGTGCCACATGCACCCTGGGAGGCCTTGAAGTGAAAGGACGGAGCAGACCTGGTTTGTGCCCCCCCCCATGGGCTAAATGCTAGGTTCCTGATTGGCACTGATCTTCGGGAGAATGCCCAGGATCCATGGGAAGGCGGAGGGCAGTAAATAGGTGAGCAGCCTATCTCCAGTCCTGGGCTGCTCTTGTCTTGTCCGGAGTCCCACTATCTCCTCAAGCAGCCAGCGACTCTCAGGATGCTCCCGTGACCAACCATCCTCCAGCCTCTGCTCCCTGTCTACCCTCTGTCCAGCCCCCACACCCCCTTGCCTCACCACCTACCCCAGGGTCTGTCTCGCACGGACAAGCGTGACTATGGTGTGGGACTTCGATGTCACAGGACCCACTGTTTCTGGACCTGATTGGGACCTGTCACTCAGCCAGCACCAAGCCAGCCATCCTGAGACCTCAGCACCTCACCTGGTACCGAACACACCTGGCTCGGGGCTTGGCACTTTACCCTCCAGATATTCTGGCTGCCATGCTGAAAGAGAAAAGGCTGGAACGGGATGGGAATGGGGCCCTCATGCTGCCCGCTGAGGTACGTGGGGCGCCAGACATTCCTGCCCCCTAGAGGCAGGCTTCTCTCTCCAGGTCCTGGTCCCTTCCCTGGCAGTCACTGAGTAGGCTTGTGCTCTACACCATTGTAGTGGGGGTGGGAGCAGGGGGTGACCTGCATGGAGATCTTACAGTCTTTTCTGGAAAGGAGGGAGCTGAAAAAAGCCAGCAGCAAGAAGAATGACATTTGAACCCTGTCCCAGTCTCTCCCTACACAGGGTCTGGAGGACTCGCCAGCCACAAAGTACCCCCACATTCCCCCCATGATGGAGTACTTTTTTGATGGCACCAGGGACCTGGCGGTCTTTCCCCCGGCTGTCAGTCTAGAGCCTATTGATGTGGACTTTGGTGCCTGCCCTGGGCCTCAAACCCCCAACCCTGTTCCCTTGTGCCTGAGGAACCATACCAAGGGCAAGATCACCGTGGTCTGGACTCGCAGACCTGACTGCCCTTTCTGGGTGACCCCAAACACTAGTGTGGTGCCCCCGCTCAAGTCCACAGCCCTGCGTCTGCACTTCCAGCCGTCTTCCCCCAACAGCCTCTATGCTGTGGAGCTAGAAGCCTTTGCTGTCTTTAAGGTGTGTGCATACAGACCAAACAAACGGGAAAATCGGTCCTTCCCTGCCGCCTGCAGGGCAGCCACTAGCACAAGGATGACAGGAGCCCACAGGGCCCATCCTCTCCCTGCAAGCTTCTGTTTCTCTTCCTTGGCTGGACAGTGCCCTCTACTGGCTTGATTCTCCCAGATTCTCTCACTTCTGTGCAGTCTCCCTTCCTCTCCTCCCCCAGGGAAAAACTCAGCTGGGATCAAACTCTGGGAAAACTTAGTACCTAAGGAGGAGTTCTCTGGGGTCTCAGGTAGGGGCTCCTCACTTCTTCTCCTTGAAGGCGATAAACCCAAAGCAAAATAATTGTTTTTAGTTTGTAGTTGTGTTTTTTGTTGTTTTCCATAGACAGGGTTGCTTTCACTATATAGGCCTGGCTTTAATTTGTTTCAACCTTTCTGCCTCAACCTCAGAGCATGGCTGTAGTGTTTTGTTTTGTTTTTGTAGAGAAGATCTTGTCTAGTGCAGGCTGGCCTTGAATTTGCTGTATAGCCAAGGATAACCTTGAACCCCTGACCTTCCTGCCTTCATTTCCTGAGTACTGAAATTGCAGATATGAACTACCACACTCAGTCAATTTGGTGCTGGGGACCAAACCCAAGGCTTGATGCATGCTAGACGAGCGTTCCACCAACTGAACTATACCTCCAGTGTCTGCCTTATCCTTCTTCACTTTCTTCCTGTTTTTCTTCCTTTTTCTTTATTCCTTCCCTTTTTAAAAATTATGCAGGGTCTCACTGTGTAGCCTCAGCTTGCCTGGAACTCCCTATGCAGACCAAGACATAGGCCACTATGCCTCACCCTAAAGCAGCGTCTTTAACTGCCCCGTTCTCATGTGTTAGCAGGGGGTTGGGAGACAGGAAGGAATGGGATGCTAACTTCTGGCTGGTCAATGCTGAGCATTCAGACCTGTGCTGTTCCACAAGGCAGGAAAGTCACAAATGACCAGTGAACACCTGAGATATGGTGGTCCAAGTGGAGATTACTGCGAGTATAAAATATACCCATATTTCATAGCTTTCAAATGAAAAGAATGTAAACTATCTCAGTTATAGCATTTATAATGATTGCATGATAACGTGATTAGAGTTTGGAACTATTAAGTTAAATAAAATATATTCTTGAAATCAATTTCACAGTTTTTTAAAAAAAATATGGCCACCAAAACATTTTAAATTGCGTTTCCAGCCAGAATCTGGGCTCGTGCTGTATTCCATTGGCCAGCACTGTTCTGGGCTCATTACCGTAGAGTGAGTGCTGCTTCCACCTCTCACCCTGATCTCATCCCGTGCAGTGTGCTGAGAGCCAATTAGAGGCTCCTGCAGAAGGGGCGGGGCACGACTGTCCTCTGCCGGCCCCCTCAATCCTCCCTTCTTGTGCCCCATATAGTATGCCTACAGCACAGGGCCAGGGAGGGGCAAGGTGACTGTCTCCTAGGGTCAGACTGAATTTCCTCATGGGCTGGTCCCTGCAGGTCCTTCAGAGCTACAGCAATATTGAGGAGGACTGCACAGTGGCCCCGCCCTGGTGTCTGAAGGTTCGGGCTCGAGGACACAGCTACTGTGCCGCCTTAGAGCACCACATCCCCCAGTATTCCCTGGATGCACCCAAGGTGAGCATGGCCCCAGCAGCAGCGGGAGCAGCATGAAGGGATCCCAGGCTGCCTCTCTTTCCAATGGCCTCAGTAATGCATCCCCATGTCCTTTCTGGCCATCTGAGGGATCTAGACCAACGGAAGACTTGCTCTTGGGCCATGGTCCCAGCACACGAACGGTCTAGAGACTGGGCACCAGCCTTCTCCACTCCATCTGGAACCTTACCTGGTCCTCTGTGCTTCCCACCTCCTTCATTTGTCCTGCTCGCTGAGTACCTGCCGGCTCCCAAGGCCTTGGCTGGGCCCTAAGGATAAAACAGTCCAGAGCCGGAGCTTCTGCTCGACAACCGCAAGCCTATGCTTCCTTCACATCCACCTCATGACCACCCCTCCCTAAAATGAAGCTCTCCCTGATGCTCAAGGGTATCCTCACCGATGCCTTTGGTCCCTTGCCAGCCCCTCCCAGTGTGAGCTGACACCTTTCCACGGTCTACCAGAGGCCTGTGTTGCTTCTACATGGACTCACATGAACTTGCTGGCACAGTCAGATAGGGAGTTGGGCCAGGGATTATGGGTCTTGTGTTGTGTAGCCTGTTTAGCTTTTAGCTTTGTTCTGGCCACATCCAAGACAGCTAAGACGTGTTTATGACTGGGACTACAGGGGTTGACCCCCCTCTGATACCTGAGTGAGAATCATGTAGAAAGAGCTAATGACTCCAATCTTCTGAGAAAGTAATTTTTCATAGTGTCTGGAAATCACTGTTAAAAACGACTCCTCCTCTAACCTTGAGCACAGGCCTGACTATCCCTGGGACCTGGGACCACCACATCCCTATGTCTGGAGGTCTTTGGAGGACAGAAGTATTCTTTGGTGGCAGGTTGTGGGTCCCCCCACCCTTTACTTCCCAAGAATTCTTTGCTGGTTGTGCTGTGTGCAGAGATCTTTGGTGTCCTTGGAGACAGAATCATTCAAACCAGAGTGTCCCTGAATGTGCATCTAGAGATGGAGATCTGAGGAGGGGCCCCTTTCCCTCTTATTGTCCCCAACTCCCAGATGTTCCCAGCAGTGTCTTCTGGGGAGCCCTCCTACAGAAGTCTGCTTCTGGTCAACAAAGGCCCCATGCTGTTGACCTTCAGCTTGGCCCCCAAAAGCACCTCAGACATCACCCTGAGACCCTCCTCTGGCCTGGTTGCTCCTGGGGCCCACCAGGTCTTCCTTATCAGCACGTACCCCAAGGGCACCTCATGGAAGCAGCACATTTTCTACCTGCAATTCAACTTTTACCCCCAGTATCTCAAGGTAGGAGGCTGGGACCTGTTTTCCCAAAATCACATTTTTAGGGTCCCTGCCAAAGTAGCTGGTGGGTGGGGGTGGGGAACATTCCTCTAGGAAACAGGAATGTTAGGGAGAGAGCCCTGGCTCCATCGGTGACAACTCTGCTGCTTTTGGGGTCAGGGAAACAGCTACAGAGACCCCAGACTCAAACTGCAGGTGATGGAGGGCTGTTTACAGCCAGTCCAGGGGCAGGGCAGGGCTGGACAGCACCCCCATATCCGAGCCCATAAAAAATGGGTACATCCTCTCTTGGTCCCTGAGTCTGATGTTTGTGGGGGAGTTTTGTTTATTTATTTGGTTTTTTGTTGGTTTGTTTTGTTTTTTTGAGACAAGGTTTCTCAGTGTAGCTTTGTAGACCAGGCTGGCCTTGAACTCACAGAGATCCACTTGCCTCTGACTCCCAAGTACTGGGATTAAAGGCGTGCGCCACCACTGCCTGTCGATGTTTGTGTGCCAAAGACAGTATATCACTATATAAGCCAGGCTGATCTTGGACTCAAGGCGATCCTCCTGCCTCACCTACTCTAATGCTGGGATTTCAGGAGTGATGCATCACACCTAGCTCTGGTGAGGGAGAGAAACTGCTAAGTTCAAGCAGGAAGACAGCTTTGTCTGTCCCCTTCCAAGGGCGAAAACCTGTACAGCCATGCCCCCTAATCATAGGGAGAGCCCAAAGGTCATGGCATTGTCCACCTTCCTTCCATCCTTCCTTCCTTCCTGCCTTCCTTCCTCTGGCTCAGGAAGTGAGCATGCAGAGCAGAGAGGAGTCACCGCAGCTGAAGCTAGACACCTGCAAAAGTGTCTTCTTCAAACCCACCTGGGTGGGCTGTTCCTCCACCAGCGACTTCACCTTTCGCAACCCCTCACGGCTGCCCCTGGAGTTCGAATGGAGAGTCTCCCAGCAGCACCAAAAGGTGCTGGCTGTCCAGCCCTCCAAGGGTATCATCCATCCTAATGAGAACCTTGTGAGTGCCTGGGTCCCATTGCCAAGGGGAGTCCAGAGGGTGCCTGTCACCCTTACCGTTGCCGTCTCTTACATGTGGTGCTCATGAACTGTAATGTACACCTACCTAAGCAATCTGTAGTCACCTCCCCTAGCTGAGGTTTGGTAGATTTTAGTAACACCTTCCTCACCCCCATCTTTCAGGAAATTGAGACTCAGGGGAAGAGTATTTAATTAAGAGCAAGATTAGGAGTGCAGACTTGGAACTGTACACAACATTAGCGAAGCCAGGGCCCCAGCATGTCTAAACTTCATCATTCATGATATCCAAGCAGCAAGATTCCTGGAAGGTAACTTAGTGTGGTCCACCCAGAGTTTCCAGATCAGTAGAAAAGGAGGGCCCAAATTGGCACCCAAAACAACAAACTTTGTCCATAGTCTTAGGTAGGTCAGACTCAGAGCAATAACTACCAATACTTGATACCCATAAATACCCAGGGACAAGAAACAGGAGCCTAAGAGAGCACTCAGATGTAGGACTGAGGGGCTTCCAGAGAGGAGATAATATAATGTGTGCAAAGTGCTCAGCACTTGGATAAACAGGCAGATGGAAAACAGTGTCAGGATTCGGCAATGGGACATCCCCCAGCCAGGAGCCCAGGGTGGGGTGTCCTGGACACATGCATGCAAGAATGAATCATCTCTGTGACCCTAGACACTGACATGGATCTTCAGCCCTTTGGAGGAGACCAAGTACCTGTTCCGAGTGGGGATGTGGGTCTGGGAAGCCAGACAGCAACAAAAGACCAATCCCCGAGCCAACATGCACTACAGGATTCGGCTGGTGGGCATGGGCATTACCGGATGCCTCTCTGTGAGTGGAGGCCCTGGTGGAGGTGGAGCCAGGACCCAGGTGGGAGGGAAAGTCCCAGGTGCCCAACCTTAAGAAGGTAGGGGACAAGATATGGATCCTTGCACAAACCTCTTATCTGCCTTTTCTTGGGGAGTGGTCTGAAGGCTAGGGGTTGGGGGAGCCCCCAGCAGCTGGCTGTGATCTCAGGTGAAGCCAAAGGAGCTGGACTTTGGGAATGTACTGGTGAACAGCCGGGAGGTCAAGTCTTTGGTGCTCCTGAACGATGGCAACTGCACCCTCTATTACCGCCTGGTCCTGGAGCAGCACAGGCCTAAGGGCCTCAACAATGACCCCTGTGGTACTGAGGCCTGGGCTGGGTCTGGGTCCAGGGAAGAGAGAGAGAGAGAGAGAGAGAGAGAGAGAGAGAGAGAGAGAGAGAGAGAGAGAGAGAGAGAGAGAGAGAGAGAGTCTGTGTGTGTGTGTGTCTGTGTGTGTGTGTCCTTAAGACGGATGACCCACACATGGTGTAGGTCAGGCAAGACAGCTGGAAACCTAGCATTCCCATTCTTCAGCTGTGGCAGGTGCCAATGACATCAAGATGCATAGTTCTTTCCACCGCAGCCTGCTCTGCCCTCAGGGAGTTTTGTGGTGACTTGGGGGAGGGTACATGAGGAGGAACATGAGGGGCCAGGACACCTCTGTCCAGTTGTCCACCGATGACCCCTGCACTATCTCTCAGCAGCTCTAGAATTCGACCACTTGGAGGGGACCATGCCGCCTCATTCCCAGGATACCATCTATCTTACTGCCTGTCCTAAGACCCGTTCCCAGTATTCCTGGACCATTAGCTACTGCCTCCTGTCCCACAGAGGTACCTGGGTACTCAGTAGAGATTTTGGGCCTGGAAGGGGAGAAGGGAAGAGGTGAACTATGAGATAAAGCTAGAGGCATGCTAAGTTCAAGACAAGCTGGCACAGTGAGTGAGGACAGGGTGGACTGTGCCTTTGGAATCTGATGTGTGTAACTGTGTCTGTCCATGTGATATCTACACGTGCATCCCTGAGTTTTGGCGACACAAGTGTTAGAAAACATGCTACCTTCTGTTGAGATCACAGGCAAATTCTCAACCAAGCTTCAGCCCTCTCCTCCCTGAGGCAGAGTTATTAGTGTTCCCTGTGCTAGCTGGAAGTTCCTGGAACAGGCATCAGAAGAATATCCATATTCATTGGGATTGGGTTCTGATTCTCCCACACTTACTGGCAGAGTGGTTCTACCTAAATATGCCTCAACTTCCCATCAATAATAGGGAGATGATCGAAGACTACAGGCCACTAAAGCAAGAATGACGTAATAGCATATGCCACCATATTGATGGGCATTGGAAGCACAGTGCTAAGTGAAAGAAACCAGTCAGAAAAAGCCCAGCACTGAATGACTCCATGTTTGAAACGTCCAGAATAGATAAGATACACAGATGGAGAATAGAGTAGTGATAGCTGGGGAGAGGGGAGAGTGTTGACTTGTTGGTACTGAGTTTTTTAGTGGGACAGTAGAAACTTTCTAAAACTTAGTGGTGGTTACGTGCCTGTGAATACATGGTCTACTGAGTTGTCTGTGTTAAAAAGTGGTTTTTTTGTTTTTTATTTGTTTGGTTGGTTTTGGTTTTTTGAGACAGGGTTTCTCTGTGGCTTTGGAGGCTGTCCTGGAACTAGCTCTTGTAGACCAGGTTGGTCTTGAATTCACAGAGATCCTCCTGCCTCTGCCTCCCGAGTGCTGGGACTAAAGGCCTGTGCCACCACCATTAGACTCTAAAAAGTGTTTTTTACGGTCTATGAATTATGATTTATTACAATGAGTTTGGAATACAGGTAGTGGTACAAGTTAAATGCCAGGGTGTGTGTTAAAGCAAGGCAGTGCCGAACACATAGAAGGTTTTAGACAAGGGCTGGTTGCCATTGGAAACGTACTCAAGCCACTGCTTCTGGCCAGGGTTCTGCACCTACCTCCAGGGGAGCTAAATCCTCTGCTGTTCCCCACACCCATGTCCCCAGACAGCGTGGTTGGCAAAACACAGGAGCTGTGCCAAGTCTCCCTGGCGGCTGTGTACCCTTTACTCTCCATCCTGGACGCCTGCTCTTTGGGCAGCGCTGAGGGCATCACCCGGAAGCACCTGTGGCACCTCTTCTCCCTGGACACACTCAATAGCTACTTGACACGGGACCCAACCCCCAGGGAGCTCACCTACAAGGTGCCCACCAGGCACAGGTAAACTAGGCTTGGGGGCAAACAGGAAATACCAGAGATGCCCACAGAGCATCTGCCAACAGCGCTCCAACACCAGACCTTTCCCAGGAAGCTGAGTAGTGGGTGGGGGAGAGGTTGGGGGGGCAAATTCTTACCTATTCTGAGAGGGGCCTGGGAAGGGCAAGGATTGACCTGAGGACTAAGGAGCTACCTCACTGACCCTGAGTTCCAGACTTTTCACTTTGTGCCTGGGGGTAGACACCCAAAGTTAAAGCCATCTCCTCGCACTGAGCCGTTTCTCTGCCTCACACAGCGTGAGCCATACGCCCCCTGTCTTCACTCCTCTGAAGCTGGACTTCAATTTTGGAGCCGCGCCACTCAACGCCCCCTCTTCAGTGGTGCTCCTGTTACTGAAGAACAGCGGACTGGTGTCCTTGGACTGGTATGGCTGGGCAGAAGGGGCCTGTTACAAGGGTCTGAGGACAGAGCTCTAGAGGCCAGGCGTAGGGAATAGTCAGTTTCTGGGGCTTCCTGGGAAACCTGAGGTCTGCGGTGGGGGCCCAGAGGAGACTGCAGTTCCCACAGCACTTGGGGATTGGCCCTGGCTGCAGCTAGGCTCTGGGCAGTGTGCGATTCCTGGAAACTGGTCACAGCTGTATCGGTAACTGGCTGAATGATACAGATCAGGCGCTGTGCTTTTCCAGTCTTCATCCTGGATCTTGGCAGTGTCCCTGTGAGAGTGACCCCCCCAGACTTGTTCAAAAGATAGGGCCTGAGGGTCAATGGACTAAAGGCTCCATCAAAGACACCCAACTATTAGAGGTAGAGCCAGGTTCAAACCCAGATGAGCCAATTCCTGAGTGCCTGCCTGCACCAGTTAGTCAGCAAGAAGGCAAGAAGGCTTCAAGTTACTTCTGTGCAACAGGGCAGTCTAGGCACCCGGCTGCTTGCCAGGTCCCAGGTCAATCTAGATTGTCATGGAGGACAGGCATCGGCTGCCACAGAGGAGCCTGCCACTGGAGGATGTGACTGAGCAAGCAGGAACGGCCACAAAACAGTCACCTAGCAGGTCACAGGAAGCCAGTTTAACGACCTGAGCCTGCTAATCTTGTTCATTCTTCTGTTCTTCTGCCCTCTCATCAGGGCCTAGAACTCGTGCCCAGCAAGCTTCCTGTTTCCACAGCAGGCTTGTTCACGTTCCTGGCGTGAATATACTTCATAAATGTCTACTTACAGACTTTCAGTTCTGGTTGAGTAATAAGAAAAAAGAAAAAGGTCTTAATCTGGATCAGGCAGAGAGAGGGGGGGGAGGGAGGGAGGGAGGGAGGGAGGGAGGGAGACAGACAGACAGACAGACAGACAGACTGCCTGCCTGAGGGTGCTGAGAAGATGAGGAGTGAGAAAATGCAGCAGGGCCACCGGGTCAGGACCTGCTGGCCTGAGCAGAGGACATCTCAGAAGTGTGGGGTGACAGACGGGGCCCTGTACTGATAGGTATGTAGCGGTTACCCCTAAGCTCTGGGTCCCCCACGCCTTCATGATGTTGAGATGGGGAGGTTGGCTCATTAGGTGGCAACAGACAGGAAAAGGCAGGACTGGGGGTAACCAGAAAGCTTGAGAGGGCTACAGGCCTGGTTGGGGAAGCCCAGAGCCTGCCTGGAGCTTTAGATTTGGTACTGGCTGGGCCTCTAAGCGGGCAGGAGCCAGTGTCTATAGAGCTCAGGGCATTGGCCTGTGTCCTGGTGGACATGGGCATGCATGTGTAGGAGGAAAGACCCAGGTGGAGAGCTCACTGGACTGGATCCTCTCAGCAGGAGATCCAAAGTACAGGAAGCTGCCCAGGCTTCTCCCCAGAGCTCAAGTGGTCCGATTTTCCTGTGCTTTTTGTGCTGTGGTTCATTTCAGTTTCTTAGAAGATGGTTTTTGCAAACCCTAGCATCTCTCTGCTGAGCTCATAAAGACTGGATGGAGGCTTTTATTCCTCCCAGGACCAGTGGTGCAAGGGGAGTGTGGATTTGGTCTGGAGATGGCAGTAGGCAGGATGAAGGGCGACCCCGAGTCAGGGAGGAGGATCAGAGAGCCCCCCACAATCCTTCTCCTCCTGACACTTCTGCTGTATTTGAGCCTGGGATATGGCTGCCTATATATACCTTGCATTCAAGCGGACAGCCTCAAAGACACTAAATTTGCTGCCTAGCACTGGTGTGCTCTTTATTTCATTGGCTAAATTTGTCCCAGGTGCTTCTAAGATCAAGCTTCAGGTCAGTCCTGAGAATAGAAATAAGGACCAGGCCTATCCCTGCCCTCTAAATGCCACAGGAACCCAGGGTAGGACAGCCTCCCAGGACCGGGTAGTGTACTGGGAAAGAGGGAGTTGTGACACTCACGGGGGTCATTACTCACACTTGATAGGGTGGTAGTGACATCAGAGAGACTTTCAGGAGGGCTGAGTGTGTGGTGACTCAATAGTGGAGTGCTTGCCGGGCGGTGGTGGCACACACCTTTAATCCCAGCACTCGGGAGGCAGAGGCAGGCGGATCTCTGTGAGTTCGAGGCCAGCCTGGTCTACAAAGTGAGTTCCAAGACAGCCTCCAAAGCTACAGAGAAACCCTGACTCAAAAAACCAAAAAAAAAAAAATAGTGGAGTGCTTGCTGGGCATACACTAGAGCCCTGGGTTCGACCCCTAGCATGGTGAAGAGGAAGAGGGGGAGGAGGGTTTTTGAAGAAATTGGGAAAAGGATGACCTTGAACACAGCTGGAGGTCCAGGCAGGGGCAGCACTTGAAGAGCCTGCAATCTTTCTCTGAAGAGTTTGGACTTGCTAAAGGACTGAGGAGATGGGAGCTGCAGAGGGGGGCCAAGGCCTGGTTAATGTCCCATGGCCTGTCACTCTGATCTCCAGGGGATGATGGGTGTTGCTGTCCTCCAGATTGTTGGAGAAAGCATGCACATTAGAACAAGTCAGGGTGCCGGGCGGTGGTGGTGTATGCCTTGGTCCCAGCACTCGGGAGGCAGAGGCAGGTGGATCTCTGAGCTCAAGGTTAGCCTGGTCTACAGAGCGTGTTCCAGGACAGCCAAGGCTCCACAGAGAAACCCTGTCTCTAAAAACAACCACAGCAAACGAACAAACCAGGGGAGAGACAGTGAAATCATTTCCTCAGGAGGTGAGTTGAGTGACTGTGTATAAAGGAGATGCAGGAATTTCCCAGAGGGTCCTGAAAAGCCAGAGCTCCCACTCTGCCACTGGCCAGCATCCCCCAAATAAAATGACAAAAGCAGCACTCACTGCAGCAGGCCAACCCACACAGCTGATGAGAGAGACGTCAGAGCCCTCTTCCTCAGGCTCATGCCCATGCTGGGGTGGCCAGGGCTTGGGAGTAGCTTGCTGTTGCTCTCCGTGTTTGCTGTGCACACACAGACAGTTGGGTGCTTTGCAGAGTGGTTCTTCCAGCGTTTGTGTAGGAAAGGCACAATGCTATCCAAATTTCAGTCAGCATTCTATTAACAGCTCCAGAATGTGTCCTGCGAAGGAAGAGAGTATGTAGCTGAGTACTTCTCTATCTAGGACATTCCTTTTATCAATTGCATGACATTCTTCATTATAAAGGGACTTAAGTTATTAGGCCACCCCTTTACTGGAAGATTCTGTTCCCAGTAATAGGAACCAAAAATGTTTTTGTCATTTTGCCACCACAAAGAAAGTTTTGTATATGGATGTATAGATACACACAAGTGTGTGGGAATGGGGGAATGGTGCCTGGGGAAAAAGCTTGCTACATACATGTGAAGTCCTGAGTTAGGAACCCCAGTACCCATGTAATGCCAGCCACAGGAGCACATGTCTGTAATTCCAATGCTCCTGTGGCAAGATTGAAAGAGGAGACTGAACAGTCTCCAGGAGCTTGTGGGCAGCTAATCTGACATCTACAGTGGTAAACAAAGCCTGTCTCAAACAAGATGGAAGGCAAGGGCCGACACCCTGAGTTGCCCCTGACCCAGTGCATGCTGTGGCACATATGCACCCACATTCACACACATGTACACATAGGACACACACATGTATACATATGCACTCACACTCACACACATGTACACATAGGACACACACACATACACATGTGCACATATGCACCCACACTCACACACATGTACACATGCACCCACACTCACACACATGTACACATAGGACACACACATGTATACATATGCACTCACACTCACACACATGTACACATAGGACACACACACATACACATGTGCACATATGCACCCACACTCACACACATGTACACATGCACCCACACTCACACACATGTACACATAGGACACATACACACACATGTACACATATGCACCCACACTCACACACATGTACACATAGGACACACACATGTGCACATATGCACTCACACTCACACACATGTACACATAGGACACACATGTACACATATGCACTCACACACACACATAGGACACACACATGTACACATAGGACATATACACGCACACATGTACACATATGCACATATGCACTCACACACACACATAGGACACACACATGTACACATAGGACATATACACGCACACATGTACACATATGCACCCATACTCACACACATGTATACATATGCACCCACACTCACACACATGTACACATAGAACACACACATGTACACATGCACTCACACTCACACACATGTACACATAGAACACATACACACATGTACACATATGCACCCACACTCACATACATGTACACATAGAACACATACACACACGTACACATATGCACCCACACACATATGTACACATAGGACACATACACACACAAAATTATTTTTTAGATATTCAGTATGTGTTGGTATATTTTCATGTCTGCATTTTAATCATACGTGTGGGTTCCTGAAAATAGGACTTTTGGGTCAAAGAACACATATATGTTCGGTCTTCGTAGATGCTGTCAAATTCTTTCCCAAAGCTCGCAGGGCTTCCCTCTCGCCCCACCTATGTTTGAGGGTGTCTGCTCTTTCTGAACATTACCAGCGCCGCATGGCTCTGTTTTCAAATTTCCCACACGAGAGGAAACCAAATCCCTTGTAAGTTTGTAGACCCCTGACTCCTGTGAGGCTTGTGGGCTCTTCTGCCTTCTGTTTCTGGGCGCCCTCTGTTCAAACCCTTGCCAGGTTTGCTGCTGGGGCTAATTCCCTTCCATCTCTCTGAGAGAGTTCTATCAAATGGTGATGCTGGGACCCTTATCACTAGTCTTGCCAGCTGTTTGGATGGCGATATCTACTTTGCTACATTGTGAAGCCTTGCAGGGGAGTGGGCGGTTCTCTTCACACTCCTGCATGCTTCAGATCACCAGCTCTGGGAACCTGTTCTCCAGCCTGTGTCCAAGCTAGCCTCAACACCCTCCTCCTCAGGGGCCCCTGGGTGGTATTGCCAGCATTCCCGGGAGTTGCAAACGGCCCCTTCCTGAGACCTTATGAGAGAATGATCAGTAGCCAGCCCTAAGTGGCTCACATACAAGTGACGCCGCTGGCTCCTGGTTCCCAAAATGAAAGTCCCAGTCGTCTTCACTTCTTTACTCATTTTGGGTCTGCCCCGTCTCTAGTTTCTGTTTTCTTGTGTAAAGACAGCGTTTCAGTCATTTTTCTTATTGCTGTGATGAAACACCATGTCCAAAACAACTGTTATAAAAGAAGCATTTGCACACATCTTTAATCCCAGCATTCGGGAGGCAGAGGCAGGCGGATCTCTGTGAGTTTGAAGCCAGCCTGGTCTACAGAGCAAGTTCCAGGACAGCCTCCAAAGCAATGCAGAGAAGAAACCCTGTCTGGAAAAAAAGAAACATTTAATTGGGTGCTCACTTACAGTTTTAGGGAGTTAGTCCATGATCATCATGGCAGAAAGCAGACCAGCGTGGGACTGGAGAAGTAGCTAAGAGCTCACACCCTGACCTGCAGGCAGCAGCCAGGGGGAAAGTGAGGTGGGGCCTGGCATGGGCTTTTGAATCCTTCCAAGCCCATCCCTAGTGATACATCTCCTCCAGCATGACCACACCTCTTACTCTTCCCCCAAACAGTTCCATTAGCAGGGGATCAAGCATTCAGACATTTGAGCGGCCACTCCAGGCTAGTTTGAAGCTCACTATGCAGCTTAAATTGACTTTGACTTTTCAGCAGTCCTGCCCATTCACCCAAGTGCTAGTGTTATAGGTGTGGCCCACTATCTTAGCTATTCCTAGGTTGGGGGACATTTATGAAGGGAGAATCCACCTAGTCCCATTTGCTCACCAGAACCTAGGCCGGCTTATGAAATAGGGGTGTAAAAGGCAGGAGGTACGGTGAAAGTTCTGTCTGTCTGTCCGCCCGTCCTTCACATGGCTTCCCTCCTCTCATTTGCCTTCCCCAGGGCCTTCCTCTTCCCAAGTGATCAGCAGCTGGATCTGGATCTGTGGGCAGAGCAGGCAGAACTCAGCTGCACTGAGCTCCACCAAATGCGTGCTGAGGATAATTGCCTCTTCTCCATCAACCCCAAGTCTGGGAGCCTGAGGCCTGGGCAGGAGCAGATGGTGGAATTCAAATACAGGTGCTCCTGCACCCTATCCCCTGCCTCTCCTACCAGGAGATCCCTGGCTCTGAGTTTTCTCTGTATGACTCCAGGGGACCCTAGACAACCCCCCCCCCAGGGAAACCATCTCCTGCAGGAGATGTCCATGCAATCCCAACTCAGAGGTGGCTGTCTGGTCCAAAGCCACAATTGCTTTTCCACTCAGAGGAGACTCCAGAACTCACTGTCCACCTTGTCGCCTCTTTTCAGCCATTTGTTTATTGGCACTGATCGCCTTCCCGTGCTCTTCAAGGTGTCCCATGGACGGGAGATCCTGGTGAGACCTCACACCCTAGTCCTGCTGGGACTGGCCACAGGAGCTCTTTGGCCATCCAAGAGAGGAGCGGGGAGTGGTGCCCCCGCCCGCCCCGGGGACCTGGGGCCCGTATCTCTGCTGGGTGTGCCGGTTCACACGGGGCAGCATGCCATCCGTGGGCTCTTCGTTTCCAGCTACACTTCATAGGTGTGACAGTGCGGCCGGAGCAGAAGTACGTGCACTTCACCTCCACCACTCATCGGTTCATCCCCGTCCCCATCGGGGACACACTGCCCCCACGCCAGGTCAGTGGTCTGTGCCATCCTGTCACCAAGAGGTGCAAGTATTGATCTCTGTGTGTCTGTGTCAGCCCCTCCAGGAGGACAGTCACTGCTCCACATGGGACAATTGGAAATGATAGCTCTTAGAAGCACCTCTTCTCAGAGAGCTGAGGACAGGAATGTGGGTCTGTAGAAGGTTCCCACACAGAACACCTCTGTTGCTTCTTTCCAAGACATCCTTGGGAGGCAGTCTTCAGTTCTTCAGAACCCTTCCCCAGTGTCTTTAAACAAGACTTCCTCTAGTAGCAGACATGGAAAGCGACAGTCTTCATGGTGGGCTAGATTGAAAGTCTTAGATGGTAAAGGGTCTAGGTGGTATATAGGCATATGTGGGCATTTCCCCAGACCCCAATATGAGGGACACTCACATTAGGGTCTTTTATAAACTTGGCAAGTGTAAACTGAAGGCAAATGACATAGGTTGCTGTTTTACAAGCAGCATTGCTGCTGTCCTAAGATTTTACAGACTGAATATCCAAGTATCAAGCCAGAGGGGAAAATGATTAGGGGGGTAAGGGCTCACAGACCTTCGACTTATTGTGAAGATAACCCACCCTCCCCAAATGAACAGAGCCCTAGACTATCTGCTCTGCACTCTTGAGCTGGCTGACCATCTCCCCATTCCTGCCCTTGCAGATTTATGAGCTATACAACGGTGGCTCAGTACCTGTGACATACGAGGTCCAGATCAGTGTTCTGTCACAGGTTCAAGAAAAAAATTTTGACCATCCTATTTTCTGCTGCTTGAACCCCAAAGGGGAGATCAAGCCAGGTACTACTGCTCGGATCCTGTGGATATTCTCACCCATCGAGGCCAAGACCTACACAGTGAGCAGTGGCCTGGATAATATTGGGAACGATTGGGGTTGGAGCTGTGACTTCCTCACTGAACCTTGATTTCACCGGTTCCTTCCCTACCTCTGTAACTTCCCAGGTGGATGTACCCATACACATCCTTGGATGGAATTCAGCTGTCATCTGCTTCCAAGGAGTGGGATATGACCCTTATGTCATGGGTGACACAGCCCCTTTCCACAACATTTCCTCGTGGGACAACAGTTCCATATACTCTAGGCTGATGATTCCTGGGCAGGTGCGAGGAAGGGAGCTTAGAAATATGGATGCAATAGAGAATCTTAGAGTCAAGGGTGGCCAACATCAAGGGCTGGGGAAGCTATGGAGAAGAGGAGCTAAGTTAAGGAGGGATAGAGGGTCAGACTTGGAATTAGCCTGGCTCCACCTTCAAAGAGCATCAGCTCTGCAAGAGGCTTACCCTGTCAGTTGATGCCTAGTATTGTTGGTGTACTAGACATAGTAAGTATGTATGATGTATAGTATGCTTGGGACACTCCACCTGTTTCAGCACCCTTGATCCCAGCCTTTTTGTAAGCATAGGGCTTAGAGGAATATTGCAAGATTTATAAAGAAATCTTCCTATTCTAGGTACTGTCTTCATATAAAACAGTCCCTCTCTTGGGTTCAGGTGAATTTTCCTCAAGATATTAGTCATCACTAATACTACATTTCGTCCACATGCTTCCTGTTGGGAGGCCTGGCACACTCATCTGGCCACCCATTTATTCAATTATCCATATATGTACTTTTCCATCTACCCATTGAACCTCATACCGCTTACTAGTCTATGTATCCAACTATACAGCCATCTATCCCTGGACTCATCCATCGAATCACTACACATTTGCTCACTTTTCCATTAAGAGCCCGATTAGACCCCTAGTTCAAGATGAGTACTGGAAACCCTGGGAACAGAGTGCATAGGAGCTGGTAGTGCTCCTGTGGTTTCTTCTTCACACCCCCAAAGTTGATGCTATGCTGTCTTTACCAACAGAATGTCTTCCTGTCCCAGTCTCATGTTTCCCTGGGGAACGTCCCTGTGCAGAGCAAGTGTAGCCGCTTGATCTTCCTCAACAACATCTCCAAAAATGAGACAATTGTCTTCAACTGGAAGCCAAGGCCCTTAGACTTTGGAGAGGTGAGAATCCACTTGCTCCCACAATCAGAATTTAGGGAAAGGCTCCAGACTCATTCTATACTGCCTTATCTCACCTCGGGTTATCCTGTTCCCTCCCAGCCTATCCTATTACATCCCATCACCAAGCCTCTGTCTATTCTCTCCCACCCCATCCTTTCCTATCCCACATCATCTTCTCTCATTCTGTAGCATCCCATCTTGTTCTGCTATCCCATCCCATCTCATCCCATCTTGTCCTATCCCATCTCATCCCATCTTGTCCTATCCCATCCCATCCCATCTTGTCCTATCCCATCCCATCCCATCCCATCTTGTCCTATCCCATCCCATCCCATCTTGTCCTATCCCATCTCATCCCATCTTGTCCTATCCCATCCCATCCCATCCCATCTTGTCCTATCCCATCCCATCCCATCCCATCTTGTCCTATCCCATCTCATCCCATCTTGTCCTATCCCATCCCATCCCATCTTGTCCTATCCCATCCCATCCCATCTTGTCCTATCCCATCCCATCCCATCCCATCTTGTCCTATCCCATCCCATCCCATCCCATCTTGTCCTATCCCATCCCATCCCATCTTGTCCTATCCCATCCCATCCCATCCCATCTTGTCCTATCCCATCCCATCCCATCCCATCTTGTCCTATCCCATCCCATCCCATCCCATCTTGTCCTATCCCATCTCATCCCATCTTGTCCCATCCCATCCCATCCCATCTTGTCCTATCCCATCCCATCCCATCTTGTCCCATCCCATCTCATCCCATCTTGTCCTATCCCATCTTGTCCCATCCCATCCCATCCCATCTTGTCCTATCCCATCCCATCCCATCTTGTCCTATCCCATCCCATCCCATCTTGTCCTATCCCATCCCATCCTATCTTGTCCCATTCTGTCTCATCCCACCCTATCTTGTACCACCTTACCTTGTCCTATCCTCTGCCATCTTTCCTCCCAAACCCACAGGCTCTTTACTTAAATCAACAGGTGTCTGTGAGCCCCAAGGAAGGAGAAGTGGCTCCTGAGGAGGCAGCCCCAATCTTGGTGACCCTCAAGGCCTCAGTTCATGCCAGCTTCTATAGCGTAGACCTGATATGCAAGGTAGGGTCCAGCTACAGAGAAACACATGGGGGTTGAGTCACAGATCCCAAATATAGGGTGGAGGAGGGTCCTGAGGTCTCCAAACCCTCCGAGAAAGGCAGAAGACGGCTCTCGGAAGGGCCCAAGTTGAGCTCTAGCTGAGATCCTCCAGATGTAGGCCTTCTCTCACCTTGTGCTGGCCCAGGTATACCGGCAGGAACTTATGCAACAGTACCACAAGGAGTTACAGGAGTGGAATGAAGAGAAGGCACGGCAGGAGGTGGAGTTCACCATCACAGATATGAAACCAAAGGTGAGGAGAGCTGGCTGGGCCTCACATTCCCAGATCCCACGAGCTTTACCAGAAGGTGATGGGCTGAGGTAGCCCTCCATATGAAACTGCCCACTCTGCCCTAAGAGATTAGATCTACTCACTAGACTCAGCATAGCAGCTCCACAGCTATCAAGAGCTACCCAGGGTGGGGAAGGCTGAAGCAATTCCCTGCTTCACGCAGAAGGATGTCGTGAGTGTCTGTTGTGTGCCCAGAGCTGAGAATACACAGGAAATGATGAAGGCCTCACCTTCAGATGAAGGACACTGCAGCCTAGTGACTTTAGGTGCAGCTCTGAAGAGAGCCTTAGGTGTGATTCTTGGCTTTATCCTTTGCTAATTATGTGGTCCTGGTTAGGCTACTTAACCTCTTACTCCCTTGACTGTAAAATGGAAATAGCATGAATTGAGGATTCTCTTCAAGATAATCCACAGGCGAGAGACAGAGAAGACAAGAATGGCCATGAGTTGTTAATAGCACTGAATTATTGAACAATGGAAATTCTTTGTAGCATTTGTTCCCCTTTCATATATAAAATATGGGCATTCAATTTTACTTACTTATTGTTTTGGTTTTTTTCGAGATAGGGTCTCCCTGTGTAGTTCAAGATGTCCTGAAACTCGCTCTGTAGACTAGGCTGGCCTCCTACCTCTGCCCCCCGAGTGCTGGGATTAAAGCCGTGTGCCACCACCACCTGGCTGGGCATTTAATTGTTTAAACATTGAGTTGAGCTCTTCCTTTCTCAGTCTTAAGTGCTGAAGTTACAGGCACGAAATACCAACTCAGTCAACAATAAATGTTTTAAAATATTAGAATATTAAAATATTAACTATTAGAATATATTAAAATATGCTCTAATGCTAGTGAAATATCCACTTTAAAGCTACTACTGTGAGCATTAATATACACAGTGTGCCTATAGTTGAGTCCAGTACCCAGCCACCATTTCCAAAACACAGGCTGCTAAATATCTCTTCAGGGAGACCAATAGTAGACATAAAAACATCTTGCTTCCTCCTAATTTTACTGCCTGCCTCCACTCATGTCTTTATCCCTCAGTCTTCTCTGTGATGACCACATAGAACTCTTTGAAAGGCTCTGCTCCCCTGAAGCCTGGGCCCCTGAGAATACAGATCATATAGGGAAGTGGAACAGCTTTCCAATGGTCTTGAGGGTGCAGGCTGTTTCCTTGTCTCTCTGAGCCTCAAAGACCCAGGCTATCACGGGCAAGCGCCTTCAGGGTCCACCTGTCTACATTTGATCCCATTTCAGTCTCCATCTTTCACTTGACTACATAGATTCCCCTTGTGTGTTCCCAGGCGGCGCTCACCTAGGGAAGGCTGGAGGAAAGGGTAGCACTGGGAGGTGGGCAAAACCGAGCGTGAAGCAAGGTCTGGTAATACAGAGGGGCTGGGGCTGTCACATCCTAAGCTGGGATCTCTCTACAGAGGGGAGCGTACTGTACAGCCTGTGAGCCTGTGAAGAAATACAAGGTGAGCCAGAAAGCCCGGAGCCACTCTTGGGGTAACTGAGAAGGTTCTTGCTCGTCCCCAGAGATACCCTCAAGCCCTCAGCCAGTCTCCAGAGTGGAGGGAGGAAAGTACTAGAAGGCAAATCCACAACCCCAGGGAGCAAGGCCAGGGCATCCATCGACAGTGGGGGTACAGCTGCCCTATCCCCTGTGTCTGCCTCTTCCTAAAGACACTGCCTCCCATCACAAACCAACCATCTCCCAGCTGGCCTGCCAGCTGGAACCTGAAGATAGCAAAAGAGGAGACCTCGTGGCCATGTCCTCAACCACCTGTGCCAGGCCTGCTCTGTCTAGGCCTCACTGCGAGGGCCCATGCCACTGACTACTACCTGGCCAACTTCTTCTCTGAGTTTCCTTGCCACTTCCTGTACAGGTGAACTCTTGGGGAAGCATGGACCACCTTCCTCTAGTCTTAATCCTCTCCCCTATTGTAGAGCAGCAGATGTCCCATACTCAACCTTTAGGAAAGGTTGAAGCAAGACCAGGGTCGATGAGAGTCATTGGGCACCATGGGCCCAAGATATCATCATTACTGCTTAGGTCCCTTTTGTTGGCTTGCTTGCTCTTCGACACTGGTTTTCTCTGTGTAACAGCCCTGGCTATCCTGGAATTCACTTTTAGACCAGGCTGGCTTCGATGCTTAGGTCCTTTTCAAGAGGGTGATAAAGAGGCCCATGAGAAATCCACCAAGGTTTCCCATTCTCCCCCTTTTCCAACTGGGAGCCTCTGGGTCCTGCTCTAACCTAAGGGATGGGTGTGGTTCTCTGACTACAGTAACTACATTTTGTTAAGACTGGGAGTGTGCATATTTATGTCCTCATGACTGGGCAACTACCATCATGGCTTGTGCCCCTCTGCTACAGCATAGTAGCTTTGCAAGTCCACTCAGAATATCCTGGTCTACCTCAGGGAGCTGCCAAAGAAGAAATCCTCCAGGGAAGAGCCAAAAGCTTTTGAGGAGGAACCCTTTGACAAGGAGGGTCCTGTCTCGAGACAGAAGAAGCAGCTTCTGGTTGACTGCCTTACCGCCATCATCAGGTACCCACTGCTCTGAGCATCTCCACCCTCACCCTCCCATCTCTCCAGCTACATCAGACAAAACTTCCTCTCCCTGAGAAAGAGAGAATTCCTTTGCAAGATCCTTCTACTGGAGGACGCTGGGGACCAAACAGGTGTAATAGAGCTGCGTCCTGATTCTGTCACAGTCTATGACTAGTCTGATGTTATCTGGAGCCAGTTCCCTTTGGTCTTGGGAGCCCTTCCCTTGCCTATGTCATTCTGACTTGCTGGCCCTGCCTGCAACACATCTCATTCACTCTCTAAGACTCTACAGGGCTCAAAGATGCCTTGTTCCAAGGCCTCTCCTTCCAGACCTAGCACTTGATAGGAAAGACAGTCACCACGGCTGTCCCTTAGGAAGCAGGGAAGCCAGCATTGTTGTAGCTGAAAGTCCTTTCATTATACTCCATATCTCCTCTTTTTTGTTCCTGTCCAGGGGCCTTCTGGAAGACAAGAATTTCCTTGATGCTGTGGGTCAAAGCCTGGAGGAGCAGGTGCCTTACTTCTGCCAGTTCTGGAATGAGGAGTCAGCCAAGTTCCTGAACCAGAAGAGCAGTTTGTACTTAATGCCAATCCTGTCCCTGCCCTCCAGCTGCTATGAGGAGGGGAAAGGGAACGAGCAGGAAGAGGACAAGTACAACCTCGGGAAGAAGGCAAGAGGGGTAGAAGATGAAGATGAGGAGGAGGAAGAGGAGGAGGCTAAAGAAGAGGAAGAGGAGGAGAGAGAGGAGGAGGAGTTGAGCAGGGAGGAGATGGAAGAGGAGACAGACAAGGGAGTAAAGTTGACCTGGTCAGAGATTAAGGGCACCGCACAGCCGTCTGGGTCGCAGCAGTCCCTGCAGTGGCACTGGCAGCAGGATCTGAAAATGATAATGAAGGAGGAGCAAGAAAAGGATGAGAAGGAAGCCATTGGAAGGTGAGCAGCTGGGACCAGATGAGGACTGGGAAGAACCTCACACTGAGGCTAACCCCAACTTGTGTGTGACTCTCCAAAACTGGGGTCCCAGTGACAACCTCGTGGTGTAGTGTAAGATTTGGGTGGGGGGGTTTCAAAAGAGCAGAAGAGCTCTTTATGTAGTGTGTGATGCCTGATGGGTAGCATTCACCAACACGACGCTACCAGGAATGGGGTGGTAGTCTTCACAGTCTCTTCAATGATCCTGCGGGACCGAAGAACCAGCACCACTTTTTCTGACACCACGTTCTCCTGGTGCTTTTTGGGGGGAGGGATTTCTTCTGTCCCTTTGGGATCCCTTGACCCCACACAGCCACTTCTGCGTCCTCTGCCAGAGGGAAGTGGAGGAGTGGGTTGTAGGTCTGTAATCTCCTGCTAACAGGGGCAACACCCTCCTCCCAGGCTACCAGCCTTTGCCAACCTGCAGGAGGCGATACTGGAGAACATGATCCAGAACATACTGGTGGAGGCAAGCCGTGGAGAGGTGGTGCTCACTTCAAGGCCCCGCATCATTGCTCTGCCACCAGTCAGCATGCCCAGGTAGGGGCTTGGGGTTACAGCTATTGCTTGGAGGGAAGTAAGACAGGAGAGGCATTCAGATGTGGTTGGAAGCCCCACCATCATTCCTACCATCGGCCTTCTATTTTGCAGGACAGACACCCTGTTGCCGATGCAACAAGGGGAAGCACTCTGCTCTGGGATGCAGCACCCTACTGACTGTTTGCTGGCGTCAGGATCCAGCCCCTCTTACGTGGCTATGTAATCCATCTCCCCCCCCCCCCTTTACCGTCCTGCTAGTAAAACATTTAGCGCCCCTCCCCACCACATCTACTTGGATTTTATTCCCCCCCCCTGCCTAGAGAAAGAAGTTTGTTGAGACGTGTGGAAGGTGAGAGCTGCGGCTGGACCCTAGAGACCCACCATACTTTTAGAAATGGGAGGGTGATTTTCCCCTGGACTAGCAAGAGTTCTTGACACTAACAGAGGGGTGCTGGACTTAGTCTCACCAGTGGAGGGCGCTTCAGGAGCGGCACAACTGATCTATTGCTATGGTGTCTCCGGATAGTAGACGCCACAGCAAAGGCCTGGTGGGCTAAACAGCTGGCCATGAAGGCAGGATGGACCCTCCTTCCTTTCTACATCTGTTCACCAGCATCTCCAGGACCAGCCTGGCTCCCTGAACTCTGCTAAGAGATTAAGAAGAAGCCTAGGCGATGGTGGCGCAGGAGGATCTCTCTGAGTTTGAGGCCAGCCTAGTCTACAGAGCGAGTTCCAGAACAGTGAGAGCTAAACAAAGAAACCCTGTCTCTAAAAACCAAACCAAACCAAAACCAAAATCAACAACAACAACAAAAAGGTTAGGAAGGAGGAGAAACGGAGGTACGCGATAGTGGGCCAGAATTAGGATCTGGGCACTTTTGGAAGCCACAGTTTAAGGGGTTACAGATGCTACTAAATGACCTCCTTTACCAATCCTCAGACCCAGAAATGTTCCCTTCGCTAGGACGTCCGCCTCTCCCCCCCCCCGCCCCTAAGCCCCGCCAGGCAGCCTCTGTCCTCTGCTCCTCCCGGAGCTCAGAGCCAGGTGGGTGGAAAAGTGACATCTGGTGTTGTTCCAGAGGCGCTCAGGTCCCCGGCACCCTCCCCTGCACCGCCCGCCCGCCTGCCCGCCCCGAGCTGCCAAGGCCTCTGCAGAAGCATGGTCTCTGAGCCAGGGCGGGGGAGGGGGACGCTCCGCCTCTATGAGTCAATATTTGCCCCGAGCAAACGGGCGCCGGGACAGGTGTGTGTGTGTGTGTGTGTGTGTGTGTGTGTGTGTGTGTGTGTGTGTAGGGGCGGGGACTGAACTGGCAGTATAAGAGTGCTCTGAACCCTGGCTAGGGCACAAGCTCGAGGCGTGGGCTGGGGACGAAGCCAAGTCTTGCTGGTTTGGGTGGAGGGGCAGAAAAACTGTGGAGGGAGGCCCGGGAGGGAGGGGCGGGCCAGGTGTGCACCTGTGGCATCCGCCGCTGCAGCCGACGTGTCAGCCACAGCGGTGCGCAGGTGAGAGCGGCGGCTAGCGGAGCGAGCTTTGTGCGACACTGCGCTCGAGGAAGATCACCAACGGGACATCGCCGAGAACCGCCGCCAGGCCCCGGGTCCTCCGCTCCGGCCCCGCGACGAGCCCCTCGCACAAACCGGACCTGAGCGTTTTGTTCGTTCGGCTCGCGTGAGGCAGGGGCGGCTTCTCAACATCAGCCCCGGGGCCGGCCGGATCGCCACGCAAGCACCTGCCGGCCGCCACCACCGCCACCATATGGGTCGCAGAGACTGAGCACCGTGCCCGGGGGACATCCGGCTCCCATCAAGCCCCGCCTGCCCTGCCCGCAGACTCTGAGCTGCCAGGCACAGCTTGCTGCAGGGTAATGCGGGCTGGGCAGGCTCCAGCAGGGTGGCCGGAGCGGGCTGAGGTCCAGAACAGATCCCCTTCTGCAGGTGGAAACTGGGATTCTATCCCCGCTCTATCAGGGCGAATTCTGTGGCCTTGGACAAGTGTTTTCTCAGTCTCTCGGTTCTCCCGTTTGCAAAAAATGAGGCAGCCTTGTTTGGTACAAGAGTCAGGGCCTCCTCTTTATCCTGGTTCCTGGGCTCCTACGTATCCTGTTGAGCCCCTTTAACCTGACCCTCTAAGAGTCTGTGCCAGAGCTGTGAGGTGCAGAAAACCGGGGTGTGGTGAGCTGAGGACTTCTGTGCAGACTCCAGCTCTCTTCCATGCTGCCACTACAACCCCAAAATTTCACTCTTGCCACCTCCTGCGTCCATCTCTCAGTCCAATCATATCTGAGAAACCAAAGAGGACAAACACGGATCTTCAGACACAGGACAGAGCTCACCACCTTTCTCAAACCCCAGAATCTTGGATTCTCTGCTTCCCAGCTAGACAGGCTAGACTGAGTCCAGGTAGCGCTCAGCTCAGCCAGAGCTCTGCCAGGGATCATTAGCCACAACCCAGATCTGGGACAGGCCACCTCCCTCCATTTCAGTTGCTTAAGATGCTGTGACCTGACCTGCAAGAAGGGATTGTCTTACACTCTGGCTGAGGAGCCCAGTCTGAGAGCTCCTGTCACAGGCCTGGGGAGAAGCTAGGCCAGAGCCCAGTGAGTCTAACCCTGCGATTCCAGGTGCCTTCCATTCCCTCTCGAGAAAGTGTGGAGACAAAGGCCAGCTGTAGGTTGAGGGCAGAAAGGGGGCTCTGCGTAGGACAGCATGGAGCCCCTGGCTGGTTTCCCATTAGGGTCAAGAAGCCATAGTGGAGACTGGTACCCCACACAACAAGACAGAAGCAAGGCCAGGGAGGTGGAAAACAGGATCATTGCAGTTTTCCTAGAAGTGCCGTCTTGTCCATCCCCCACCACCTGAACTGCTACCCAGAGGCTCCACAGGACCTGCTGAGTCCCAAGGAATGGTTTTGAAGTGGCTCTGATGAGGAGAGGGTGGGTTCTTGTCTGAGCTAGCCCCAAGGCCAGGCTAGACCCACGTGTCTCCAGATGGGTATATGTAATCCCCAGCCTGGCCTCCTTGACCAGGTTCTTCCCTTGCTGGCACTGGGTGATTTACCCTTCCGCAGCCTGGATCGCCTTTCTTGTGCCTTTGATAGCACACTCTCCCCACCCCAATCGCGGCTTGGAGTTAGCACTCCTTGGGGGTTCCAGATCTTGAGTCTGTCCTTGGAATAGTTCCCCAGAACATTGAAAAAACAGCCCTTGGAAGTAGGGTGACTAAAGAGAGATCACGCAGAGGGCTGAGGACCTGGCCTGGTGATGGACATTACTTCTTAAAGCCTTCTTCCCCATAACCCCACCCCGTACCCACGTCCAAGCTTCTCTTCTCCAGGCCAGAGTGGGGCATCTGGCCTCTCCTCTGGGTCCCTCCCCGAGGTGGAGTCTGACAAGCCTGCAGGTGCTGGGACGGAAGGGGGGTACTCAGCAGCTGGTGTGCGGGCTGCCCCTCCCCCTTCCCTGCTCCAAGCCAGAGCCTGCTTCCTGTCTTCCCTGTCAGCACTCCCCGGTCAGGGAGGGAACAGGTAGGGGGAAGAGGGAAGGGGCAAATCAGTTGAAGCGCTGCCCTGCAGGTGGGGTGGGGAGATGGGGCGACTGGGAAGCAGCAGAGGAGAAATGGCCAAGGGGGTGGCTGAGAAGAGGCCTGAGAACAGGGGCAAAAGGCACAGAGAGTTAATGTAGCTCAGAGCCAAGTCAGGTCAGAGGCAGGGGCAGCACTCAGGCAGGGAAGGGGGAACTATAGAACCTTCAGACAGTGGAGACAAGACCTAGGGGGAAACCAGGGGCAGAGGCAGAGAGAAACCAGACACATGTGGGCACACACCACCCACACACACAGGGAGAGAGAGAGAGAGAGACAGAGAGACAAAGACAGAGACAGAGACAGAGACAGAGACAGGGACAGAGAGACAGGAGAGAGACAGACAGACAGACAGACAGACAGACAGACAGAGACAGGAACAGAGGCAGAGAGACAGAGAAACGGAGAGAGAGACAGAGACAGGGACAGAGAGAGAGACAGAGAGAGACAGAGAGACAGAGAGGAGAGAGAGAGGAGAATCTTATGAAAGGACAGAAGATGGAAACCAGAGAGGAGTCAGACATCCAGTGGGCAGGGACGGTGGAGGGAGAAGAAAGTGTGAAAACAGAGTATGCAAACAGCCCCAGGAATGCTATAGAGATGGACTGCAAATGCTAACTGCCAGGGCTGGCCTGGCTGGTAGGATGGTCATTCTCCTCCCATTAAAAGCCAGAAGACAGAAAGCTACAAGGCCCACACATGCAGTCCCTGAACAGTGATGGGCAGGACGCCATCTTTTCCTGTCAGGTCCCTGCAGAGCAGTTGCCCTGCCCATACCCACTCTGGTGCATCTGGCTCAGCCTTGGAACTTCTTGGCTTGGAGGCCTCTAGGGTCTGTGTGAGAATAGAGAGACTTAGGAGTGGAGGCTCACATCCAGATGCTAATCCCTACCCAGCCAGGTTAGTACCAGAGCCCCGGTGACCTTCTTGGAGATTAATCTCCATGGAGATGCAGCTCGCCCCCTCACTCTGGCTAGGCCAGGTGGGTAGCTGGTGGGGCAGGTGCGGCAGGTGGGGCAAACTAGAGGCAGGATGGGGAGGGAAGAGAGCCTTCTTCAGACATGGCAGGATCATGGTCAAGGCCGGGGTGGCTGAGAGGCCCCCTGCAGCAGCCAGCTTAATTCACAGGTAAAGACCTGAGGCCCCACACAGGGGTGGGCTTGGGGAGGGCTGGCAATGACCCTTAGGGAACCAAGAAAACCAGAAGAAACAGAGACCAGGTCTTCAGCTCGACTCCCCACCTTTTCCCTGTGACAGCCTATGCCTGAGCAAAAACGGGGGAACTTGGAACATGTCCCCTGACCTGTCAAACTTGAGTGAGCAGAGTACCTCCTGGGAGATGGAAAGTGAAAGGCCTTCTGCTGGCTTCTCTAGAACCAGGATCAGGTTGGAAAAGGAGGTTAATGATCCCAGGGCTATGCTTGCTGCCTTGACCCCTCCCAATCCAACCCCACCCCATCCCAGAGGAAGTGGGGAGAACCCTGATACAAAGACATTCATAACCTGAAAATATTCCAACAGCAGCGGCTACTATTGAGTGTACTACCTTGCAGTGTTTTCCATGTAAATGCCCATCATAGTCAAGGCAATGATTCCCATTTTACAGAGGAGAAAATGGAAAGGTCAAGTGACCAGATGACTTTTACACAGTAGAGCAGCAGCAAGGTTCCAGAGTCCATCTAGTCTTCGTGATCACGGCTGAACAGTTAAGATGATGCCTCTCTGGATAACTGCAGAGGGGGCATGTGTGCTTGTCACGGCACATGAGGGTGTGCTCCAGTGTGAGCCCTCCCCCATGCTGGCCGCCAGATCCTGTAAGTGATTGAAGAAATGTCTTCCCCACAAATGAATAGACTCTGGGGTGCCTACAGAGTCCCAGGACAGGGCAAGTCATACATCAAGTCTGTGGGATCATGCCCATGTACCCGTTACCGAGGATGACCCTACCTCCACCTGACCGTGAACCTGTGTGCAGTGTCCTCTCCCTGCCTAGGAGAGTCTTGTAGCATTGTGTTGAAGTGAGTGCATGGTGGTGAAAGCCGCCTCTCACCTCTCTGGATGGAATCAGTTCTCCAGCCCTACCGAGGGACAGAGAAGACAGGGTGGGGTAATGGGTCTGTGTGGGTGGGGCTGCCATCTGTATGATGAACTGGGTTTGTCTCACACTGACTTATCTCTGTCTCCTGGGAGACAAGGCTTGTACAGCCCCAGGGAAGGAGCTCATCTGCCTGTTCCAGACCTGAAGAGGGGCGGGGCTATAGGAGCCAAGCTGCAGAGGAAAAGGCTGGCAAGGGGAGTGGGGTGGATGAGGGCACCACTCACAGAATTTGCATTATTCAGTCCCCGAGGCCCTGCATGATTTCCCTGTGAAATGAGGGAAAGAGGTGGGGATCAGGCCACCTCGAGGAGAGGACATTAGCCACCAGAGCCTCTCAGCTGTCCAGCAGAACTGACAAATAGGGTTCTTCATGGAGTGAGACTGCACAGGGGCAGTGTCCCTTCTGTTGACCTTCACTGAGATGGAGATGTGGACGGGAACTCGGGGTTGGGTCTGGACATTTATCTGCAGGGTCTTACAGGTCCCCACATGGGATGGAGGATTTGGGTGGTGTGACATCAAGCTCAAGCCTGCATGTTCCTTGTGGATCTAAGGGTCAACGTGGAACAAGTATTTTCTTAAAATTATGGGGTGGGGGTAGACTAGAATAGGAGTGGGGATGTGGATAAAGTCTTAGGACATCTGGAGTGTGTGTGTGTGTGTGTGTGTGTGTGTGTGTGTAGGTCCCTATAATTACCAAAGTGGGGGTCAGAGTGGAAATTGCCATGATGAGAGCCTTGTGAGATCTCCTAGTGACTTGGGTGAATGAGTCTGAGGTTGCTGGGGTTTTGTTTTTTATTTTTCCTGACTGTTCCCTCACCGTCAAATCTGTGGATGTGGAGGGGGTAAAAGGGATGGTACCGAGCTGGCAAACAAAGCCACCTGGGTTTCCATCCTTCAGGAAGCTCTAAGCTCAACTGATCTGGGAAAACAAACAGGAACAGCTGCTGGGGGTGGAGGGACATGAGGGAGAGACGAGGGGCTGGAATTGGACCAGCCTGGTGGAGAAGGGAGGCTAATGGAAGGAGTCTATGGCATCGAAAGTTTTGTTCAGGCATCAAGGTGTAGGGGCTGCCTGAAAGCCTCTTGGCCCCTACCCTTCAGTGGTGTCTTCTCTTATTCTCTTTGGGGAGAAGAGACCTCAGTTGCTACAGGTGGTAGAAGCAGGTGTGCTGGAGACAGATATGCCATTTAGCTGACTGCAGATAGAACTAAAAGCCATGGATGTGTGGTGTGACCTTTATATTTTCCTGATGAGGAAACCCAGATAGAGGAGGCTGGCTGCTGCCAAGAGAACTTCCAACTGGAAAGGGTAGGCTTGTCATATAGATCATCAACCCCCCCAAAGCAGACACCCCTAATTTAAGGATGATCTCATCTTCCCTTTGTCCCTCTCCAAATCCTGGAGGGAACACATATCTCTGAGGACTTCTAACCAACTCATGAACTGGAAGCTGCTTCCACCCCAGGCCTAGCTCCTGCTAACCATGACAAACACAGCCTCAGATCTAACACAGAGGCCCACAGTCACCAACAACACAGATGTATAGCCCACAGTCACCACCACAGCCCCTCCTGAGCAAGTAAACCTGAGCGCGCGCGCGCACGCGCGCACGCACACACACACACACACACACACACACACACAGGCACGCACAGCTTTCTGGCTAGTGCAGCCTGGCTCCGCCCCCTGGTGGCCACCTCTAGAATTGTCTGATGGAAGGAAAAAGATCTTTTTAATTTATTTTTCTTTTCTCAAGCCTTGTTGCAGTCAGGACTTGTGAAACAGTGAATAAGTGAGAATGCTAAGCTCCAGGAGTATCTGCTTCCATATATGGAGTCTGAACTTTCCCCTGAGTCTGGGAAAAATCACAACCCTTTTATGTTTTTCTAGCCCTCTCTAGGGAAGAGTCAAGCAGCTAAACAGTGATTCTGGCTCCACCCTCAATCAGACCTCAGGCGTGTTCCATTTTCCACCCATGTTCTCCTGGCTTGGACTATAGCCTCAGCTCTCTCTTGTATATGAGTCTCAACAGCCATTTCTCACTAGTGAATGGAGAGACCAAAGGGAGGTGTTGCCTGACCCCCCCCACAGAAGCCAAGAACTGCAAAAATGGGATTAGTAGGGTGGACAAACCATCACCCCCACACCACGGGAGACTTTCTTGTACACTCCGTCCCCATGAACATTTGGCCAACAATTGGCCATCTTGTTAATTCACTCCAGTTTTAATTGAATCCCTACTCCGTATCCAGCACCATGCAGGTTTGAGTATAATAGCTGGGAGCAAGGCAGACATGGTTCCTGCCCGTCAGTGTGGGGTTTACACTCTAGTAAAGGAGGTACCGTGCATTCACGAACTAAGAGGAGGGTGTCTTTAGGCTGACAAACGCTGTAGAGAAAACGGATGTGATGGTATAAGTGTGCTGTGACTCGATCATGCACACAGTGGCAGAGGAACCAGTCATGCCAAGAGCGTGTGATTAAAACACTCCGTGGACTGTGAAGGGCAAATGGAAAGACTCTGGGCTGGGGGTGGGCTTAGGTTAGGTGGGAAAAAAAAGGCGCCTTACGCAGGCTTTCAGGAGTTGGGGTGGGAGGCAAAAACCAAAAAGGTTGGGTTTTCTTAACTCTGAAACTGTCCAGTTACGAATTTTCACAAAGCCCCACACCGGGTTGAGTTTGAATTTCCCCCTTTCTGTGTACAAACTGAACCCACCAGGCTGCTGTTGAATTTACAAGGGAGACACTTGGCAAAGAGGAGTTAACAAGATTATTTTCCACCACACCCGCTCCCTGCTGGGATAGCCTCTCACCATTAAAGAGTACTCGCTTTATAGATCTGCAAGAAGCCTAGTGTCTAGCTGACAGCTAACGGTGAGGCTATCCCCTGCCAGCAGCAGCTCTACCTTGGGTCTCTAAGCCCCACCCCCTCACCGCTCCTCAGTCACCCCCACCCCCACTCCAGCCCACCTAAGCCGGCCGCAGCCAATGGCCAGGAGCTCTGGATTCCGAATTCAAGAGCCTTCGACTCTCTCGCAGGTGGTGGGGGAAGGTTGAGAGGCTCTTCCTACCTAGGACAGTTAGCCCCTCCTTTGGCACCGGTATTCCTAAAACCCAGCAAACCTATGCGCTCCGGGATGCTTTTTTTTTTTTTTTTTTTTTTTTTGTGCTTAGTGCCGCCTGGCGGTGAGGCCTGGTCTGGACCTCAGGGCGGGAGAAGATTAGTTGAGAAGCCACCCCCCGCCCCGCGCCCGCACCTCCCCCTGGGAAGCAATGGACAGATCAAGCGATAAGAGGCCTGAGGGGCTTGACTCAGGTTCATTAGAGAAGGGTCTTCGCCGCCGCCGCCCAAAAGAGAGATCTTCACCTATGGAGTTGTAACATTGGGAAGAACCGTGCTGTGCCAGGCTCGGGCTTAACTTTCACGCCTGAAGGTCTATGCCAGGGTTGCGTGTTTTGCCCCTAGGCTGGGAGTCTCTGCCAGGCTTAAGCCTCACTGAAAGAAAGCGCAGAGTCAGCCTGGGCTCCTGCGGACTCGCGATGTGCGCCTCAGCACTTTCCGTTGTCATCCAGACGGGCTTGGACCAGATCCGTGACTCCGCTGCCTGTGCAGACCAGAGATGACCAAAGCCAGCCAGCTGACTCAGCTCGCCCACCGCGCTCGGATCCCACAGGGAGAGGCAGCCAGACATGGGTATAAAGCAGCGCACACCAGGCTTGCACGCAGCCTCTCCATTTTCCGTGCGTGCAGCGCTCACCCATCCGGTGAGTACTTGGTGCTGGGGAAAGGGAGGGAGAGAGGAGTGGAAAGCCCCTCTCTGGCAGCCTGTTTCCAGAACCAGGCCAGATCCAGTCCCAGAGTCCCTCACATCCTATCGGGGATGGGCAGACTTGGGCTAAGTAGAGGAGCTTAGTCGGTGATCCTGTCCTTCTTAAACCGTAGCGGCATGAGCAGCGCCCCCGCGCCGGGTCCGGCGCCCGCCTGCCTCACGCTCTGGGACGAGGAGGACTTCCAGGGTCGTCGCTGCCGACTGCTGAGCGACTGTGCGAATGTCTGTGAGCGAGGAGCCCTGCGCAGGGTGCGCTCAGTCAAGGTGGAAAACGGAGCGTGAGTGATCCTGCTTTGGCAGCTGAACTAATTTAGGGGGTGTCCAACATCTCTCATTCCCACCCCAGCCAAAGTTAAGAGCCTGGGACCTCAACCTACACTCCAGTATGTCCATAGACAGACTCATCAATGAGAGAAACCTTTGTCCTCTCCAAAACTCCCAACCCTCCCCAAGACAAAGGCAATGAACTATCTATGGGGCTTTCCTGGAACCCCAACAGTTTTCTTTGTGCGAAGTCAGGTGGTTTCGCGGGAATAGATCGTTTCTGCTGGTCCAATTTTAATATCCTAGAAGCCAGCTTGGAGTCCTGGAGAGAACTGAGGTTCCTTTGCAGGCCAGAAGGTTGGATACACATAAATCCCTGAAGATAGTCCCTGGTCTGGTGATCTTTATAATCTGAAACATTCCTTCTAACCTGTGGGCCCTTCCTTCCAACCCCCGAAAGCACTGGGTTTGAGGTTTGGGGTTTGGGGTCTGGGGCCTGGGGTCTGGGGTTTGGGGTTTTTCAGAGGGGGTGGGTATGTCCAGGGAATGGTCTGGAGTTGGAAGAAAGAGTTTGGGTCCCTGGTCTTTTTTTTTTTTAACCACAACAAACAAGATGATGATGTCAGAGAGGGAGACTGGACAGATACCTCCCAGATCCTCTTTTCCTTTTTCAGATGGGTGGCCTTCGAGTACCCCAATTTCCAGGGACAGCAGTTCATTCTAGAGAAGGGAGACTATCCTTGTTGGAGCGCCTGGAGCGGCAGCAGCAGCCACCACAGCAACCAATTGCTGTCCTTTAGGCCGGTGCTCTGTGCGGTGAGCACGACCCACTTCCCCGTCTCTCCTGTCGCCTACCTCCAGGCACCCTGAAAAATCGTGGTGCCTTGGAAGGCCCACTGACCCCTAAACAGGATGTGTGAACAAACTCTTAGGTGGGTGGACGTGGTGTTACTCCAGAACCAAAACGTCTGAAAATTGGGATTATGGACACAGGCCTGGATCAGCACCACGGACAGCATCAAAGACCAGCCAGTTCTGAGCATGTCCCGCGCCATTCTGTTTTCAATCACACAGGTGGTAAGGAGCCTTTGTCACAGTCCAGGAGACTGCGTTGGCTGCTGTCAATCCCATACACAGGCTTAGAAGCGAGAATCAGAGGCATAATGTGACTTGACAGGGCCAAACGTGTTACCATGCAGATGACACCCGAATTCAGTCCAGGGATTCAGGGATCAGACTGAGAACAGGGTCAGGGTCAGTGTCAGCCTGTCTCAGTGTTGGAGGTGTGTGTGTGTGTATGTGTGTGTGTGTGTGTGTGTGTGTGTGTGTGTGTGTGTGTGTAATAATGAGTCACATGTCTCAAAGAGGAGATCCTCACTCTCCGGAGAGTTCATGCTCACTTAGGTATTGGTGAGTCCTGGGGTTGGTGGTGGTGAAGGTCAAAGGACCCAGTCCAGTCCAATTTCTCTGTTCCAAGATTGTGAGGGTCCATAACCCTGCAGCAGGAAGACCCTTGTGTTAGGGAGGCCAGGTACAACCAGCACTGCCATGTTGCTCTGACACCTCTCTGGTGTGATTTTTCCATCCAGAACCGCCTAGTTGGGTTCTGATCTGACAGAGGCAGTGATGAGGGGCTAGGAAAGGAGTTGGGTAGTCAATAAGACCCTTAAAGAAATATCCTGGTTAATGGGTCAGATCCTGTGATTTCCTCCTAAAAGTAGGCCCAGGTAGATAGTGGTACAAGCCTATAATTTCAGCTACTTTTGAGGCTGAGACAGAAGCATCACAAACTGAAGGTTAGCCTAGCATACTCAACTGTGTTTGATCCCCATTATCACAAATAAAACAAAGAGATGACAACAACAAAGGGGTTCCTGTCACAGACATTCCTTTAGCATTGAGCTCAAAGAGGTTCTGGGAATTCCCTAGTCTTGTACATAACTCAAAGTCTTGGTAAGGCCCAGGCTTAGCCTCCGAGCATCCCAGCTAGCAGGACTTACTAGGAAGTGATGGAGTGAGCTCCTGTAATGACAAGGAGTCTGTAGGATAGGTGCTGAGCAGAAATTGGGTGACTAGGGTTAAGGCTATAGCCATGAACACCCCTTTAGAGAGTCTGACATCTCTGTAACTCTTGCCCTCTATTTCTGTGTCTCAGAACCATGGTGACAGCCGTGTGACACTGTTTGAGGGGGAAAACTTCCAGGGCTGCAAGTTTGAACTCAGTGATGACTATCCATCACTGCCTTCCATGGGCTGGACCAGCAAAGATGTGGGTTCCCTCAAAGTCAGCTCTGGAGCGTGAGTCCTGGGGCTGGAGCGGGGGTGATGGGAAGAGTGGGAAGTTCATGAGAAAAAAGAGAAGATGGGCTGAGGGTGGGGAGGGAGAGAGGAAGTAAGAGGAGGGAAAGAGCAGGGAGAGGTAATGCAGACCAGGAGCCAGGGGGTGTGTGGGGTGTGGGAGGTGGAAAACTTGGGTGAAGAGGAAATGTGGTTTTAGGAGACAGACTAAGACAGATCCCAGGAAGACCCAGAGCAAAAGGCAGAGCTGAAACAGTAGATTTGGAGCTGGCTGCTGGTAGCTGGGACAGGGGACTATTGAGGGTACACAGGTGGGGGTCATGCAAAGCCAACTCACTACCATTTTCTTCACTATCCTAGATGGGTGGCCTACCAGTACCCTGGCTACCGAGGCTACCAGTACGTTTTAGAGCGGGACCGGCACAGTGGGGAGTTCCGCACCTACAGTGACTTTGGCACACAGGCCCATACTGGACAGCTGCAGTCCATTAGAAGAGTCCAGCACTAGGCTTCACATTCCCGGTCATCATCGCCCCTAAAATTCTCAATAAAAGCTCTTGAATCTACCTGTTCCTCTTGCCTCTTCTCTGTCTCTCTGTCTCTCTGTCTGTCTCTCTCTCTCGTGTGTGTGTGTGTGTGTGTGTGTGTGTGTGTGTGTGTGTGCATGCACGCGCGCATGCGCGTGCAATGGAAGCTAGAGCTTTATGCATTTGTGCAACATTTGTGCATTCAAGGCAAATAATCTCCCTACTCCTCGTCCTCCTTTCTTTTTCTTCTTTGGTTTTTCCTTTTCTTTCTTTCTTTTTTTTGAGACAGGGTTTCTCTGTGTAGCTTTGTAGACCAGGCTAGCCTCAAACTCAGAGATCTGTCTGCCTCTGCCTAAATGTGTAGCCCAGGCTGGTCTTGAACTCGTGATCCTCCTGCCTCTGCCTCCTTCAGCGAATCCTACTGGTGTGAGCCACCACATCATCTTCTTTGGTTTTTTGAGACAGGGTTTCTCTGTGTAGCCCTGGCTGTCCTGGAGCTCTCTCTCTGTAGACCAGGCTGGGGCTGGCCTCAAACTCACAGATCTACCTGCCTCTGCCTCTCAGGTGCTAGGATTAAAGGCATATGCCACCACTACTCAGTAGGTGGTAATCTCCATTCTTATCTTTCTAAGGATTGTTTTCTTTGGGTAAGGGCCCAGAACATTTCTCTATCAAGCATGACCTAACTTCAATGTCCATGGGTGTACTCCTGGGGAACTAAAGGGGTTTACAGCAAGAGTTGTGGAATCCAGTAAGCCGAATCCAGTTCCAGACCTCACCTTGGGAAAAGCCCACCCATGTAGGTCAAAGTGTTGAAAGCTCAGATGGTACCTTTGTCATTCTCTAGATGGATCAATAATCCTACCCTGATGTAGGGTGGACAGCTGAATTTCAACCAGCACACACTCCATGGGCCAGGAACCACCAGGCAGGAAAGAGCATCATGGACCATATACAAAAGCTCTTTTTGCTTCTGTACCCCCACCCTGGGCCATCTTCAGTCTGCATCTCCACCCTGTCTTCCTGCCAGGGTCTTCCAGAAGCATTAGTGGGAGGTCCTACTGTCCACTGTACCCTCTACAGGGGAGGCCAGACCCTACCAGCAGTCAATTGTATCTCCTATGATATTAGACTTCGCCATCTGCCTGTAAACCGAAGCTATTGATTCATGCACCGTGTGTGTCCAGGGGTTGTTGTGAAGACTTAATAGGAACAGGCTAAGGACATGTGGGATGTGGTGGGAAAGCATTGGAACACGGATGGAGGACCCTCCACCTGCCCTGTCATGGGTCTCAGAACCAAGGATCTGAGCTCTCAGTGGGTATGAATTCTGCTTCAATTCTGAATGGGCTCTAGAGTCCATGGCTCCTTTGCATTTGATCCTCCAAATAGCTTCCATTCTCCGGCTATCTCATTAACTAATTAGAAATTAACCTGCCCAATCAGTGACTAAGTCAGGGTTTGAAAACAGGGCCCATGATGCCAAATACAGGTTTAATTAAGGCTAAGTTGAGCTGTGGCTAAAACCTCAGGCTTCAACAGAGCCTGAAACATATGTGGAATTCCTGGTCATCTCTTGCAGGATGGAGGTTGTAACAAAAGCTAAATGCATATGAATTGGTCCTTAAGCACTTACCATGTGCCATCTTATTAATAAAGCTCACAATATGCCAGTATGCAGATGTTTAAGTCTTCAATTTTAAGACAAAGAGACTAAGTACACTTCTTTTGCTTTGCTTTTTGAGACAGAGATTCCCTGTGTAGCTTTGCAGTCTGTCCAGGAACTAGCTCTTGTAGACTAGGCTGGTCTCGAACTCCACAGAGATCAGCCTGCTTCTGCCTCCCAAGTTTTAGGATTAAAGGGCTGCACCACCACTGCCCTGTCAAGACTAAGTACACTTCTAAGGTGATTTAACTTCCTCAATGTCACACAAGTAGGAAAATAGGCAAGATTATCGAACCTGGATCATCTTGGCTTTAGAGCTCATCTCCTCACTCCTTGTCAGCAGAAATAGGCAATGAATGAGAGAGGAGGTACCTTCTTTTGGATGTGGATCCTCCTGTTAGGACATCTGTGCTCACTGGGAAGCATCAAGAGGTTACCTCTAGGACCTGGCAGAGGGACCCTGGATAGGTTGCTGGTCTTGGGTTTTTTTTTTTCCAGCTTTTTAGATTTGCCTTGATCCAGGAGTCACATTCTGTTTCCCACATCTATCATCCCCTGGTAGCATAAAAATAGAGGTTGAAGTAATCATATCTGAGGGTTTTCATCTCTGGCTCTCCCATTCTGGACAGGCTGGTGGTCTGTACACTCAGGAGGAACCATAACACACGCCCTGGCAGGGAGACAATGGAGGGGCAGCTATCAAGGACTGTCATCTGTCATCAGGAGGAGATGGAGAAGGTGGGGTGGGGAGACTCCCCTCCCACACACACTCCTGCACCTGAGTTCTCTGTCAGGCTGAGCACAAAGCCTGAGCTCTTAATACTTGCCCAGCATACAGCTAGTCTCTTCTCCCTTCTGCTTCAGCCTCCTGCTGAGAGCATTAAGTGGCTGGACCTCCCTGTCTCTCAGCTCTTCCTGTTCTTACCTTCTTGCTGTTGCCTTCTACCAGCAGTGTTTGGAAAGAGCAATGAGAGGGCACAGGAGGACTGAGATCTTGGAAGCATCCTGAAGCTCTTTCCTGAGGTGTCCTAAGCTTGTTCCTCCCAAACATCCCAACCTCTGCCTTTGCTTCCATTAGATTCCACATCAGCATCCTGAAGTCTCCATCCCCGTCCAGATAGGATTTTGTTGATTACCTCCCACCCTCCATCCTCCTCACCTTTGCACCTTTGCAGGGTGCCTGCAAAACCCGAGGACGATTTTGCAGCAGTCCTCATACAGGCACCCTAGGAACAAGGACCCTACAGGAGGTCTGGCCATATCCAACTCTCCTGCCGCCCCCCCCTGCGCTCCCCCATGTTTAAGCAACAGAGAGGAGGACCCAGAGAAAGGCAGTTCTGACAGCAGCTACCCCCTGCGTCAAGTGTCACATACCCAAGTGTCACACGGTTGCTGAAAACGCATTCCTAACCCAAGGTCCCGACTTCAGTCTTGGTGCTGAGAAGTCTCACAGGTACCCAGACACCCTGGTCTACTTGGAAGCTGCGTCAGGCCTTAGGAAAGGCACACATACAGGTTGGATTATGATCTCCGTGACCCCGCAGGGTGGTTCAGTCATAATCAGCATGGGAGGCTTTGTGAGAGTGGGGAAGGGTGGGAGAGAAATAGTTGTAGTGAGAAGTGGGAAAAGGAATGGGAACCTACAAGGAAAAAGCAGCTTATCTTCTGTAGACTGGCCACCAATTTATGGGAACTGAACAGATGGCTAGATGGGAGGAAGAGAGAAGAAAGGACGAGAAGAACAGTAGACACGGGGCAGCACGGAGACCTAAGAAGGTGGGGAAATAAAAGAAAGAGCAACTCTGAGGTTGCCAGGGGAGATGCCCCAGCGTCCTGCCTGAGGCCTGGGGCCAGACGAAGACAGGAAACCTGTGAAAGCGTAGGGGAGACCGAGAAGGAGATCGGGTCTCTAGGGACCAAGCGAGAGTAGGAGAAAGGAGGGAGAAGGCACGGGGGTGGGCAAAGATAAAGGGAGCCACGGCAGCGCAGCCGGGAGCGCAGCGACAGGAGAGAGGGAGGGAAGCGGAAATTTAAAAGTGAAGATGCAGATAACGCAGCCTGGAGACGGGGACCGGGGGGGGGGGGGGAGGGGGAGGGGCGGAGAGTAAGCAGTGAGAGAGGGGAGGGAGAAGGTTGGAAAGAAGGCTCATAGAAGGGGCCTGAGGCTGTGGCCTAAGAGGTCTTAAGTGGGGCCATCATTCCCGCCCCATCGATGTTTGCCGAGAGTCGAGGTGGCGGTAAAGAAACACACTCCTGCCCCCCCCCCGTCTGAGCTCGGATACTGGGCCCATCCCCCGCGTGTCTCCCGGGCTGCGGGGCGCAGGGGGCTGCCGGGTGCGCTTGGCTGAGGCGCTGAGCATTGGAGACTTTATTGCGATGGGAAGATAAGAGGGGCGGGGGCGGGGTCTGGGGGGGCCGAGGCGGCCGCACTTTAATTAAAACGGAAATTGCGGCCCCTGCCCGCGCGGGGCCGGAGGGCTGCAAGCCGCCCTGTAGCTAGGAGCATCGCTCCAGGACCCCCTCCCTCCTCGCCACACCCTGGCTGCCCGCTCCCGCCTGGCCTTGCCGGACCCGGTGGCGTCTACTATTCCCAGTCACCCACAGTCTCCTCGGGCGGGGATCGGCACCCCAAGCGCAAAGCTGACGTGCCCCCCCAGCGGTCCCCCCCCATCTCCCACCGCCCAGTCCCCGGCAGCGATGAGACAGAGCGGCGCCTCCCAGCCCCTGCTGATCAACATGTACCTGCCAGGTACCAGGGGCCAGCCGAGGCTGGAGGCACCGAGATCCGGGGCGGGAAGTCTAGGCCTGGGCAAGGGGGCAAGTTCGGTGGACCAAAGGAAGGGAATGCTTCCAGAGAGTCGCTTTGTGGGTGTGTGAAAGGGACTGATGGCTGCAGTCTGGGGCATTCAGGGAACCTGCAAGGTATACAGCGAGCTCCGGGGTTTCAGTGTGGGTCTAGATAGGACTTGCAGATTTGGGATCCTAGGAGGCTGCAAGCAGGGATCTTTGGCTTGGTGATCTCCAGATTCTAGCTTTGCCCGAAGGCTGTGATCCGCTGGGCGTTGTCCCTGCGCCCTCAAGGGTCCTCACCTTCGTCCTCCGAGCGTTGACACCGGCCGAGCCTTCCAAGCGCCCCCTTCCTTTTTAAGAGGGGCTCCGCTAGCTCAGACTCGGCTGGCGCGATCCCCTCTGGGTTTTATAAGGCTCCAGCCGGCCCCTTCGGAAAGCGGATTTCCTTTTTCCTGGACGCGTTTCCTGACTTGGGCGCTGCGGAGGGGCTCTGCGCCGCACGCGTCGCAGCCTAGCTTGGGGAGGAGGAGCTGGGTGGCCCGGACCCCCAGAACACTATAGCCGGGGCCCTTTCGGTCAAACCTGCAACTTCCACCTAGGTCTGCTTAACTGTTTTCTTCTGCACCGCAGATCCCGTCGGAGATGGTCTTTTTAAGGAAGGGAAGAACCCGAGCTGGGGGCCGCTGAGCCCCGCGGTGCAGAAAGGTGAGCTGGCTGGTACACTGGGCTGATGGAGAAGGCTGGAGTAGATGGGGCAGGAGTGCGAGTCCCAATAGGATAGGTACCCTGTCACTAGACAGAGGGGCAGAGATGTGTGCACTCCACATTATGGAAAATTAGAGGGCAGATTGTACAGAGGACTTGGGAAGACAATGATTTGGTCTTGGACTGACAGGTTTGACTAAGGAGATCCTGGCCTCCAGATTTATTATTATTATTATTATTATTATTATTATTATTATTATTATTATTATTCCAAGCTTTTAAGCTGTGGTGATAGGCATCCTTTTTTGTATCAGCTGTCTTTGGAGCACTTCCTGGTGGGGTGGGAGTGGGGGGCATAATTATTCTCCAGCCACCCTAGGGTACCAGACTCCTAAACCCCTAGCAGGCACTTCCTGCTACCCCTGATGAACTTTCTGACTCTGCCAGCCATGCCAGCCTTGGCGTTGTGTTTGATACCTAGGTTTGCTGTCACAAGCAACTAGCCTGTCAATCACCATGTTGATGACTGGCACTTCAACTCTTTTCCACAGCTCCCGCCCCAGTCAGTGCCTCAATCTCACAAGAAACCACAAAGATTAGATTGGCAATTGCCAACAGGGATGGAGGCCCAAGTCTCCGTTGTTCCCACTTGGTGCTGGATGCACCCTTTAGACCAAAGGCCCCCCGTACTTCTGCTCTAAAACCAAACCCTGACCTCCAGGAACCAACCAGCTCTTCACCAGGCTGGTTTAGAGGAACTGGGGTTAAAACTGCAGAAGAAATAAGCTTTTGGGTTCTGAATGAGAGGCACCGAAGAGGGAGGAGAGAGTCTTCAGGCTCCACCCGAGGCAAATCCGTTTTATTCTAAAAAGGAATGGGGCAGTTTGTCAAGATTTTTGTCACTTAAGGCCTAAAAGCAGGAGAGTGTGAGTTCAGGGTCACTCACCACCAGCATATCCAGGGAGAACCTCCCTGTCACTGTCGGCAACCCTGAGATCTATAGGAAGATCAGCCATTTTGCAATCCTACCTCTTTCCTCCGAGTTACCCACTAGCCCCTCCCTTCTTCCCCAGCAAGCAGAGGCCAGCGCACCTGAAGGTGGTAAGGATGGGGAGCCTCTGAGAATCGGCCTCTCTTCTCAGAACACAGAGCCTCTCCTCTTGTCTGTCATGCCAGGCCGGTTTTACTGTCTGCTTTTGGGTGGTAGGGACTGTCTGGTGATTGTATGGGTGCTGGTAGGAATCATCAACTATGGGCACACCTGCCCTTTTGGCCCGGGTCTCTGGACAGGACCTTGCCTGGTTGGGCAGTTCAACCTTGCTGCACCAGGCTGTCTTGCACGGCTGGGCACTCTGGGTCCTAAATGAGGGAGACTGGCCCAGAAGGATGAGAGTCTGATATCTAGCCCTTACCTAGCTAGGAAAGCCTAAAGCTATGATCCGCCACTGCTTATCCACGGAGGAGACAACGCTTCTCCGCACCCAACCACCACAAAACGACGTGCTCCAGCTCCTCAGAAATGAAAGACGTTTCCATCATGCTCTGCTGGTCCACACCGGTTAGCCAGCTGCCTCCTCCTGTTCAGGGGTGCAGTCAGAAGTGCCCTTGTCCTCTCGGATGGGAATTGGCAGTGGTTTGGGTCGTTTTCTCGCTTCACCTCACAGTTCCTAGCTGTCGGTGGCTGACTGCTCCCCTTCTCCACAGGCAGCGGGCAGATCCAGTTGTGGCAGTTTCTTCTGGAGCTGCTGGCAGACCGCGCGAACGCCGGCTGCATCGCGTGGGAGGGCGGCCATGGTGAGTTCAAACTCACCGACCCGGACGAGGTGGCTCGACGCTGGGGCGAGCGCAAGAGCAAGCCCAACATGAACTACGACAAGCTAAGCCGCGCACTGCGCTACTACTACGATAAAAACATCATGAGCAAGGTGCACGGCAAGCGCTACGCCTACCGCTTTGACTTCCAGGGCCTGGCGCAGGCTTGCCAACCGCCGCCCGCTCACGCCCACGCCGCCGCCGCAGCAGCAGCCGCGGCCGCAGCCGCCCAGGACGGCGCACTCTACAAGCTCCCGGCCGGCCTGGCCCCGCTGCCCTTCCCTGGCCTCTCCAAACTCAACCTTATGGCAGCCTCGGCCGGCGTCGCGCCCGCTGGCTTCTCCTACTGGCCCGGCCCGAATGCCACCGCCGCGGCCACCGCAGCGCTCTACCCCACCCCGGGTTTGCAGCCCCCGCCCGGGCCCTTCGGCGCAGTGGCTGCCGCCTCGCACTTGGGGGGTCATTATCACTAGACGGTGCAGCCTGGTGCGGCGGGGCCTCTCCCATACATCCAGTGGTCAATCCCACCCTCATCCTGGAAGGAGCCCCGAAGCTTTCCCAGACATCCCTTAAACCGGGTTTCACAGCGGCTGTGGCGCCCAGCCCAGGGAAGAAAACATTGGAAGCTTCTGAGGTCTTCCTAGAACACGAGGCTTCCAGCCCCCCATTGTCTCTACCCCAGGAAAGGTGATTGTGCTCCCACTTTAGTTTTTCTCTTTCGAATCTCCAGAACATGGAACTCCTGTGCTGTGATTTTTATTCTTACCTGCACCCTGGCTCCCTCTTTATGACCCCGGTTTTTCTAGTTTCTTTCCTCATTTTTTTTTTCTCTCTCCCACGACCTGCTCCAAACCCCAGTACTATGAGGCTTCTCACACTCCTCCTTCCCGGGACCTGAGAAGGTTTGGTAAACATCTCTGCTGTCCTCCATCCCCTTCTCCAACTCTCTGGCTTCCCTCTCTCCCACCCCCACACTCTGGCTCAAGGACCCAGCGTGTACCTAACTCTTTCAGTCCCATTAAAGCTCCCAAGCTCCCCACTGCCTCCTCTCTGTTCATTGCTGCACCGGGGCCTTTTCAGGGAGGCCAAGGAAGTAAAGACTCAGTGTAGACAGAGCAAAAGGCCTCCAGAGAGGGAGAGAAAGTCGGCCTGGGGGAGGAGGAGGAGCCGGTGGGTGGGATCCTAAGAGGTCAGTCTCTCTTCCTCACCCCATCCCAGCCCAACGGCCACCCCCTTCCACCGTTCTCCATCTCACCCATCTTCCAACCCCCACCACATCTCAACTAGAAACCCTTCACTCTATCCCAACCTTCCACCAGCCATTCCATTTTTCCCTAGTGTAATACCTTTCCCCGCCTCCACTCCATACCTCGTCCAGTTCTCTCAATACCTTCTCTCGTTTCCCTTCATAAACCTCCTGCTGCTCCCACTAGCTTTTGACTCCCCCCTCCCCCGTGAGATACCCGTGCTCTTGAAAAGGATTTCTCACCCTGTGTCTTGGCTTGTTCCACTCTTTTCCCGCTGGTGGTGCGCGCCCTCTGCTGGTCCGAGAGAGGGTAGGTCAGGCTACCACCAGTTGCTTCCACCAGGGACAAGAGGACCAGATTGCCTTCACACCTCCTTTAGCCTTCAGAGTGAGGCAAAAGGAGGAAACCAGACCTTTCACCTTGGATCCGGCTTTGGGAAGTCTGTGAAGTGAGTCGGGCGGATCTTTCTGACGTTGCCACGCACACCATCCAGAGGCACTTATCTCTGTCTCTCCTTTTCCAAATCTGTTGTCTGGGAAGCAACCTTTAAACGTCTTCCCTCAGAAGATTACAGGCTTCTAAGCTGAGAACCCTGCTCTCCCTTCCCCATGCCCAGGTATTACTCTTCACTAGGACAGCTGTTCCTCTTTTTAGAACAGCTTCATCGGAGGGGGAATACCCTGGGCCTCCGTCGGGCAGGCAGGCAGGGGAAAGAGGGTGGAAGGCTGGGTAGTTAGAGTTCGGGTGAGTATGAGTGAGAGTCCCTTCCCAGATTGCTGATGGACCGTCCAGGCCCACTTCAGAGGACTGCCGTTATTCACTTACATACTCTTCCCCCTCCTTTCTAAACAACACATCCTCACTCTAGGGAACCCAGCCAGGCACAGCAGCACATGCCTGTGATGCCAGCACTAAGGACTAAGAAACAGAAGGAGCCAGAGCTTGAGGTCAGCCTGGGCTAAAAACAAGACCCTGCCTCAAGAAATAAAACAAAGAAAACCTTGACTCTCTCTCTCTCTCTCTCTCTCTCTCTCTCTCTCTCTCTCTCTCTCTCTCTCACACACACACACACACACACAGCCTCCATTAACCACTGATTGGATAAAACCTGTACGGAGGCATGGGTCTGGTAGAGAAATCACCTGTACCCTCATGCAGAGACCACTCTTGATCCCTCTAAGGGCTTTCCTTTTCTGTATGCTTTGTATTTGTATTTTGTGGTGGTCGTTTGTTTGTTTGTTTTTTGAGAGGGTTTCTCTGTGTACTCTGGGCTGTCCTGGAACTAGCTCTGTAGACCAGGCTGACTGGAACTCACAGAGATCTGCCTGCCTCTGCCTCACAAGTTGTGGAATTAAAGCTGTGTGCCACCACTGCCTGACTCTTAGCCATTTTAAATAAGATGTACTCATTTTATTTTATGTGTATGAGTGTTTTGCCTTCATGTGTGCGTGTGCACCCCACTAGTGCCTGGTGCCTGGCAAGGCCATAAGAGGGTGCTGGGTTTCCCCAGAGCTGGAGTTACAGATGTTTACAAACCACCACGTGGATGCTGGGAACTGAACTGGAGTCCTCTTCGAGAGCAACAAGTGCTCTTAACTGCTGAGCCATCTCTCCAATTCCTATCTGTGGCATTTAAAATCTCAGGATACTCTGCTTGTACCACTAACATTCCAACTTAGGCATGCTCCATGTCATGTCCCATAGAGTTCCCGAGATAGAGAATAACTCATGTAGTCCAGAGAAGTCTGGCCTGCTAGGGGCTCAAGATTGTAGAGGGCATTGGAGGACCAGCATGCTTACAGCCCTGTCTGTAGGGATGAAGCCCACCAGAGGAGACCAAGACAGGATTGAAATATCTGAGCTGCCAAGAATTTCCTGGCAAAGGTGGTGAGGTCCTGACCTTAGACGTTTGTATGAAACAACAGGAGACAGAACACATGGCAAGGATGGGGCCTGTGTACAAAACAGTGTTGTCAGAAAAACTGGGACTTGGGGATTGGTGGGGATATGGCATTTAGGGTGGAGGAAGGTAGCCCACCTTCTAGAGCATTGCTCCCCATCCCTCAGGAATGAAATGGTCAATATAAGCTCTTTTGGGAGGACAAAGGGGAATCACACAGTGTGGTAGGCAAGGAAGGGAAGAGGAAAAACTCTGGAGAGATCATAGCAACACCTCTATAGTCTGGGAAATAGCTGGGGGAAGGGGTGAGAATTGTCCTCACTTATCCAGGGCACGGTCCTGAGGGAGAGGACCTGAATGAGGATGGTGAGGGCAATGCTGGGCCTGTGCTCTGAAGCTGCAGTGAAACGGGTGGTACCTTGGACTAAGGAAGAACCCCAGGCATGGCACATGTCAGATCCTCTTGGGAATAGTTCAAAGAGGAGAAGAGTGGACTGGGTGACTTCCCTAACCTTGAGCCCCTTAAGGTCCCATAAGCAAATGAAGAAGGGATTTCAGTCAATGTGTAATAGCTGGGAGATGTTCAGTTAATTGATCTCATGTATGAAATCCCATTCTTTTCTTCGCCTTCCTTCCTTCTTCCTTTCTTTCTTTGGTTTTTAGGCACAGAATTTCTCTGTGTAACAGCCCTGACCATCCTGGAACTTACTCTGTAGACCAGGCTGGCCTTGAACTCACAGAGATCTGCCTGTCTCTGCCTTCCAGATGCTGGGATTAAAGGCATTCCACCTCAAATCCCATTCCTAAATCCACCCAACTCTATTTTTTTCTGTTCCTGTAACTAGTCTGGGAGGCTGATACTGAACTGGAAAGGAACATGGCTTATCAATGAACCTGCTATCTTATCTTCAGAGAAACACATTTCTTTTCTGATTTCCCTTCTCATGCTATGAAAATTGTGAGGCTAAACCATGGATTTACAAACTGTTCTGTGGAACCTCTGGAGTCAGATGGATTCTCTCTGTAGAGCATTTGTCCAAGGTGATCATAAGGTTAAAGCCAGCCTCTGCATCTTGTGGGCATCATCTCTCCTAGTCCATCTCGGTTCCAGTAGCTCCCTGGCTGCTGTGACAGATCTGAGTCCTGAGGCAACTGTTCTACTCAAGCCCCAAAGAAGATGTTGTCTTGCAGGACTGAAGGTTGAACCCAGGGCTTCCAGAATGCTAGGCAAGTCCTCTACCACATTCCCAGCCCCAAGAAGATACACCCTAACCACATCCAGTTTCCTGATACTGGAGAGCAATAATAAACCAAGCGTCACCTTGTTAGATGACCTGGCTGGTCAAAGCCAAGGGACTTGTCTGGGACCTGTGCTATCTGGTTACCCTGCTAGACCATTTATCATTCCACTGATAACTTCTTCCTTAATCCTGGGCACCCTAGATGGCCTTGCTTTAGGATCACTCCCATGCAGTGACTCATGTCCTCTCTGATGCCGTGTGTGCTTCTGAAGATGGAGTCCAAAGCCCTGATAACATGCCACATGGAGCTGTGTCCTTACTGACTGTAGAGGACCTTGCCACCTAGAGCACTTAGGCTGACATGACACTTTCCAATGCAACATAAATACTTCCATACTGGGATGCACTTTCCTCAGAGTCTTCTGCTCCTCTGGTTTCATTCCCTCCCCCCATATGTCTTTAAGATTCATTAGGCCCTCGTTAGTGTGCTTGTTTGAGCTGTTTGGAATTCAGTCAGTTGGGTCTGCTGATAATAAAAATACGCTTCATTCTTCGTTGAACCTGGCTGGGCACCAGGCCCTGCTTTATGCTAATGTTTTACAAGCAGTCTGCTCTCTGATGGGATCACACCTTGCCAAGTCGCCTCAGGTTTTCAGGTGAGGAAACTGAAGCTTGGAGGAGTGAAGTGGATGGCGAATTCCTCGCCATTCTCCAAGGTCCTCTCGTGCTGGTCCTGACTGGGTTGTTTCAGGTGTTCATGACTCGCTTGGCCCATTGCAGGTGTACACTGATTGTCCCCTCATAGCATGAGGTACTTGCTTAGGAAGCATATACCAACAGCTCCTGAGCATCTCCCCTTAGGCTTCTGGTAGGGAAGAATGGCTGTTTGGTGGCTCATTGCTGTCTGCTGGTCTTCAATGCGCTCACGGGTCTATTAGCTTGGCGTACATCTCTATGCTCTGGGATGGGGTAGGCTCTGACTCTGACTCTGATGGTGTGCTGTGTTTAGGTCCACATGATTTCTCTATGACCTTCCTCCATCCCAGGATGGTACATCTCACATTTAGAGGAAAGAGCTCAATGCCTTATTGATTGTGACCTTTTCTTCTGATGACCATTCTCTCTGGCTGGAGTCGGTTTTCCATTTCCTCTTTTCCTGTCTTGCTATTCTTGTAATTAAAGAATGTAATGTTGCAGCTGAGAGCAAGGGCTGTGGGCCAGACCTCCTTAGTTTGAGTGCTGGCTCTCTCACTTATAAGCTATGACTTCAAGCAACACATGTCTGTGTGTTTGGTGACCTCACCTGTAAAATGAGTATGATTGTAACAGGACCTACCTCCTGGGTTACTATAAAGATTAAATGACCATATAAGTACCTCAGCATGTCTATTAATGCTCTCTATTATTTAAACAAGCAAGTATGAACAGTACAAGGGCCAGTGAGATGTCTCAGTAGGTAAACGTTCCTGTTGCCTGGCCTGACCTGAATTCAGTCCCTGAGATACACATAGTGGAAGGGGGGAGCTGACTTTCTCAAGTTGTATTCTGACCATCACGCATCCTTGATGGCAAGCATGTAGCCATCCCATATGTACATACACTCGAAACATGTAGATAAGAATACAGTTAAAGCTAATGCTTGCCTCTT